ATTTCCTGAAGGTCTTACCCTAAAATGAGGGAGATACAGGGGCACATGGTGGCTCAATTAAGTATCTGCCTTTGACTGAGGTCTTGATCTCGGGGTCCTGGGATTAAGCCCCTCACTGGGCTCTGTGCTCAGTGGGGAGTCTGCTTCTCCTTCTGCCTGCCCCCCTTGCTTGTGCTCTCTCACTCTCTATGTTTCAAATAAATTAAATCTTTAAAAAAATAAAATAAAATGAGGGAGATACAGAGATGAACAAGACATAGCTCTGGCCTTCAGGGAACCACCTATCTCCCACAGTCGATATAGCTTCTTGCAAGGTACACTTCATGCTCTATCGTCCTTGTAAAGATTCATGGTGCACATCAGACTCTGAGATGGCCTACAACCAAAAAACTAGTTTAATTTGGGTTAATGAAGCATTTCCCAAATGTTTGACTACATAACTCCCCATCTCTCTTTTAAAAGTTACATCTGCTAAGTGTCCACAGAACACTGTGAGCAGGGCTAGAAACCTAGAGTCTCATCTGATTCTTCACACCTATATCCTGCCAGGTGGCAAGGCCTGTCTGCACCTCTTTTCTCTTTTTTTCTTGCACCTCTTTTCAACACATTTTCTACTGTCACCTGCCCTGGACTGGACTCACACACCCCACCATTGCCAGCTCTCTCTCAGCCTGTCTCTGCAAGTCTCTCTAGTCCGGTCCACCCTGCACACCTCTGCCCCATGCTGACAGCTCCCTTTTGCATTAAAGCCTCCCGGGGCGGGGATGGGGTAGGGGGGGAACAGGGCAGGTGAGTCAGAGTCAGGAGTGTGATGGATGTGACCTCAAGTACCTGGTCGGCCACCAGCTGACTGAACTGAAGAAAGCCACTTAACCTGAGCCCGTTTCCTCATCTTTCCAATGGTTGAGTTTTGTTGTTTTTTTAAGATTTTATTTATTTATTTATTTATTTATTTATTTATTTATTTATTTAGAGAGAAAGCATGAGCAAGTGAAGGGAGAGGCAGAGGGAGAAGCAGACTCCCTACTGAACAGGTAGCCTGATGTGGGGCTCAATCCCAGGACCTGGAGATCATACCTGAGCAGAAGGCAGACACTCAACCACTGACTGAGCCACTCAGGTATCACCCCCCACCCCCACCCCAATAGTTGAGTTTAATTGTTGCGCTCATTGGCAGTTGTGGAGAACAAATGAAATCATGCGCTATTAAGTATAAGCATGGTGCCGGGCCCATCTGTTCTTCAATGCCTAAGGCCTGCCTCCTCCACAGAGCTTCGTGGAACCACTCTGATCTCCCTTGCAAAGACCCACTCCAGCAGCAGTCCAGTCCATTTACCACTTGACTGCTCCCTAAACCTTTCCTCTGCCTATGTTGGTTTCACGAGCTCCCTAAGCCTGAGGGCCAGGTCTGCTTCTGGCCAATCAGTCCCTCCTTCTGTTGCCTCCACACATGTTTATGCATCTCTCCTGCTTACCTGCTCTTCTGTCTACCCACCAGACCCCACATTCATTAAGCGCAGGAGCCATGCCACACTAGTACACCAGTCCTCTGCACATATCTGGCCCCTAGTGGGCACACAGTGCTTGATGGACAACAGACTTGGACCCCCACCTGGAAGACCAAGGGCCATGCTGTATGAACCTTGCCAAGAGAATGTGTTAGGAAAACAGCAAGGGCCAAACCGATCCAGAGGCCTTGCTGGCGGCAGAGTTCCTCATCAACTTCTGCACAAACAAGCCAGGAAAGAGGTCAGACTCCCCTGGCCAGAAACTGGCTGTTGTCTTCCAACTCTTTCCCTTTGCAAACGACACAGCAGGATGTAACTACTCGTTCTCTGCAGAAGCTCTCTTGATCCCTCTAGCTACAGAGTATGGGGAACACACTTGGTTCTGATCAAGTATCCCAGGGTGCCACCCACCACTCCTTGCCCCTCATCCTCTTGGGCTAAACTCAAGTTTGGTTAATAATCACTAACACACAGGGTCACTGAAGAGATTACATAACTTAACGTCAGCGGCTGGCACCCAGGAGGCTCTCAGCGAGTGTCAGTCCTGCCCTGTTCTCTTGCCCTAAACTTAAGTGGGAAGCAGGTCAAAGGAGTGGTTCCATCTGATCTGCTGAATAATAATGAAATAACTGACATCTTGTGTTATAGAATAGTGGTTCTCCACCAGAAGCAATTTTGCCCCTTTGGGGTCATTTGGTAACATCTGGAGACATTTTTGATTGTCACAACATGGGGAGACCGGAGGTGAACAGAGGCCAGAGATGCTGCCAAAAATCCTATAATGCACAGGACAGATTCCCTCCCCACCAAATAATTACAGATTCCCAAGTGTTAGAAGTGTGAAGTTGAGAAACCCTGTTCTAGGGTAAGAGAACTCGGAGGTCCTGACCATCTGTCCATGTTGCCTTCTTCGCTGCTTGAAAAACCCTGCTCTCTAGATTCAATTGTAAAAGGCCTCCCTGGAGGCACTCCTGTCCTCCAGCCTCTGGCCTTCTTCCCCGAGTACACATACAAACCTTCCGATGCCAGTGGACAGGATGGCAGTGGAAGTCTTTAGTTCCTCGTACAGATCAGCGCCATTGAAGGGGAAGGCTGAGAACTGAGCCAGCAGCACCCTTCTCAGGGCAACCAGGGCCTGTGGAAGGGGCAGGAGCAACTCAGGGTGCCGCCAGGGGCACTGGTTCAACCCAAAGCAGCCCAGAGTACTGGGCAGGCAGAGGAGGGGGCATCCCAGGGTCTCACTGGCTCCACCACCCTACTTATCAACCTCTGGGAACCCTTTGCTCCGCTGGCTCAGGGCTGAGCACGTAGAGACAGCCAGGGTTGGAGTGTGGAGCTCAGCAGCTCACCTTGTAAGACAAGCCACATTTCCGGGCTGCGGCCTCCAGGTCTGCAGAAACCAGGTCCACCACTGAAAACAAAACACACGTGGTTGGTTGACTGGCAGGAAGGGAGGCTCCGGGGCCTCCCACGCTTGGCTTCGCCTCTTCACAAAGTGGGGTGCCGGCTCTGCCTCGGGGCGCGCAGGCCTAGGCAAAAGCACAGAGCCCCAGGGCCTGGCGAGGCCGGCACCCAGCCCTGGGAAGGGGGGCGCTGGGCTGGCCGCACCCCGCCTGCCTCCCGAGCCTGGGCGGGGCGGTGCAGGACGGAGCACCGAGGGGGCCCGGCTGGGTGGCGCGCACGCCGTCACCTGTCCTGATCCCGCGGCTCCTCAGCTGCAGGACAGTGTCCTGGGTGAGGCCCGGGCACAGCCCGGCCCTGAGCACGCCCATGCCGCCCGGGGGCTCGGGGGGGGCCGGGTTCGGGGCTCTCGTCCCGCGGGCATCCGCCGGGCCCCCTCCTCACGCGCGGCGGCGCCCCTCCGCAGAGTGGGCGCGGCGCTGGCACGGAGGGGGCGGCCTCCAGGGGTCCTGCGCCCGGGTCCCGCCGCGCCCGCCGCGCCCGCCGCGCTTCCGCCTTCCAGGCGCCAGGGCCTGGCCTGCAGCGCCACATGCTGGCCGCGCGGCGACAGGGCGATTGGGGCGGAGCCCCACGCGGGCCAGAGCCACCCGGCCCCGGCCCCGGCCCCGCCCCGCCCCCGCCCCGGCCCCCCCCGGCCCCGCCCCCGGCCATGGCTCCGCCCCCGCTCCCGGCCCCGCCCCCGCCCGGCCCCGGCCCCGGCCCCGCCCCGGCTGCCCGCCCGCCGCCCCGCCCCCGGCCCCGGCCCCGCCCCGCGCCCGCATCCCCCTCCACCCGACTCCGCCCACGCGCGCTTCTGTTCCAAACGCTGGGCGTCCGCCTTCTACCCGACCGACCTTCCCTGCCCGAGACGCCTACCTGTTAGTGACGAGGACAGCGAAGAGGAATCGAAGATCCCGGCTAATTACAGACTGGATGGCAGGTGCTAGGAAGCAGCAGAGCGCAGAGAGGGCATCTGCGTTTCTATTTTTGAAGAAAAAAAAAACATTATTTTTTGGATGAATAAGACAACAAAAACCCTGGTGATTTGGAACATAAAAAAAAAAAATATGATGTGGCATTTTAAAATGTCCTTTGCTTTGCCTCGTCCTCTGGAAGTCCTGAAGCAACTTTACTGGGTTACCTCCTCACCGTCCGTTGAGGCCGGGGCTGTTTTTATCCACATTTCACAGAGGCGGAAACTGAGGCTTGGCCCGTCAAGGCGCTTGCCAAAGGTTAGACAACCTGCAGGTGCAGAGCCAGTGTTAGAGGAGACGAATCCACAGGCGTGAAAAGCCAGTGTTGTGTAGACAGCCGCTCATCCTACTCCCGAAGTTGCGAAGTTGCAACTTGCAGGTTTTCTGATGGTAAGGTGGTTTCCTGGAGAACAGAAAGATGCCTGGGCCCTATTTGTATTCCTCCGCAGCACCCACCATTGTCACTCAACACATGAAGACACTTTCGGGTGAAGATGCAACACATTTAAGAGTTCTAGCAGTAAAACCTGGCTGTATGTGGGCTGTGAACCCCATGAGCCATCTGGACTCTCCCTGTGCATAGGGACATAGTGGGGGGTTGCTGCCTAGGATTTCCGGATATAGAGTCTCAGCATTCCAGAGACAAAGTCCCCCACTCCCAGAGACCCATGTCAGTCCCGTTTGTCTCCCAGGGCCCCTGCCACCTCCCACTGCACCCAGGAGTCTTCTCTCACCACCCTGCTCCTCCTTCCCAGAGCAGCTCCAAAGGGAACAGATGGTCAGCATTTTCAGATCTTCAGAGAGGGGCAGGGCTGCAGTAATCCCAGAGCATTAGAACCAGAACGGGTCCAAGGATGACGTAGTCTGTCCCTTGTAGCCCACTCCTGACATTGGCCCTGGGCAGCAGCAGCTTCAGCTCAAGGGGGAGGCTGGCCCCTAATTGTTACATTCAGTGATGATTATGAAGTCAGCTCATTGCATCCCCATCCCAAGCTAACTAAGGGTGGGTCTGCTGCTCCCAGTTTCTTTCTGCTTCCTGTCAGCTGTGTAGTGACGGCTGTGGTCCCAAACAAACGAGATGGCATCAGAGACGCTATGTAAAGTGGGAGATGGGGAGGAGGCCATGCTGAAGAAGGAAACCCTCAACGTTCTGAATTCACTCAATCAAATGTCGAAGCCCTTTCCAAACCCCAAGTCTATGAACAGGACCGTCACTACCAAAGGACTCCCACTTACTACAAGGGGCAGTTTGGTTAACTTCTTGCAGGAAGATGCCATCAATCTACCGTAAGACTCAAGTCTGGTCCTTTTTCCCCTTCTTAAGGCCAGAGGAGAGGGGCGGGGAGAGGAGCTTAAAGAAGCAATGATGCTTCCTTCACCTGTCACAACCCATCCCTGGACTCCTTGGGAAGAGCATGTGCGGAAGTCACACTATTCCCTCTCCCCGCCCCCCTTTTTTTTAAGATTTATTTTTTTATTCATAAGAGACACACAGAGAGAGACAGAGACATAGGCAGAGGGAGAAGCAGGCTCCCTATGGGGAGCCTGATGCGGGACTCAATCCTAGGATCCCAGGATCATGACCTGAGCCAAAGGCAAACGCTCAACCACTGAGCCACCCAGGTGCCCCTGCACTATGGATTCCTGATCCCAAATCAGTTCTTGGAGGCTTGGAGGCCTCCTGCTCCAGATGGGCTTCTGGGATTAGTCAGAGGTTTGTGGACGGTACTTCTCCTGCTTTGTCTAGCTATGGTCCTCACCACTCCCACACACCCCCATACAGACAACCCACTCCATTCACTGATGGTGCCTCTTCCTTATTCCTCCCTTTTGGTGCATTTGCCTGCCTGATTGTGTCCCCCCCATAGTCTGCCTGCTTTCAGCGTGAAGTTTACTGTTCCTCCTCAGTGATTCTGGGTTCTCTTTAGCTCATTCAACAAAACTCTGAGCACCTGCCAGGTGTCTGGCCTAATGTCAAGTTCTGGGAATGCAGAGCTGAAAAACACACCACCTGCTTTCAAGGCGCTCTCAGCCTGGGGCATGTGTGTTGGGGGATGTTAGGAAGAAGCAAGAATAATACAGCATGGTCTGTGCTGGCAGGACAGCTTGAGGAGCCAGAGGGGGCTGTCACTGTTTTGAAATTCTTAATAATTTTGAGGAAGAGGCCCCACAAACTATGTAGCTAGTCTTGATTACATCCAGTGGCATCCAGTCAAGGGACCTGTAAGTAAGCAGGGATAGATAAAATAACATGCTTGTAGGAAATGTCATGGTGTGGTAGGAAAGTCTTGGGCTAGGAGCCCAAATTCTTTTTTTTTTTTTAATTTTTTAAAATTTATTTATGATAGCCACACACACACACAGAGAGAGAGAGAGAGAGGCAGAGACATAGGCAGAGGGAGAAGCAGGCTCCATGCACCGGGAGCCCAATGTGGGATTCGATCCCGGGTCTCCAGGATCGCGCCCTGGGCCAAAGGCAGGCGCCAAACCGCTGTGCCACCCAGGGATCCCTAGCCGCCCAAATTCAAATCCAAGTTCTACCACTTAGATATATGACTATAGACAAGTTATTTAAGATCAAGGATCTGGGACCCCTGGGTGGCGCAGCGGTTTAGCGCCTGCCTTTGGCCCAGGGCGCTATCCTGGAGACCCAGGATCGAATCCCACGTTGGGCTCCCGGTGCATGGGGCCTGCTTCTCACTCTGCCTGTGTCTCTGCCTCTCTCTCTCTCTGTGTGTATGACTATCATAAATAAAAAAAAAAAATTAAGATCAAGGATCTTCAGTCCCTCATTTGAAAAATGGGGGGCTAACACCCATCCAGGGGCTGTCATGAAGATCATAAAGATTTTTGTCCAGGATATAGCTCAATGCTTAGCTGCTTTCTGCCTCCACTTCAACACTACTGTTTTATGGGTGTGTTTATGAAGATTATTTATTTATTTACTTATTTGAGAGGGAGCACATGTGAGTGGGGGCAGGGGACAGAGGGAGAGAGAGAGAGAGAGAATCTCAAGTGGGTTCCTGGGGAGCCCAACATGTGGCTTGATCCCACGACTATAAATCATGACCTGGGCCAAAATCAAGAGTCAGACATTTAACCAACTGAGCCACCCCGGTGCCCTAGCACTGCTGTTTTGAATAAGTGAATATAAAATAGAGGTTCGGGATCCTTGGGTGGCTCAGTGGTTTAGTGCCTGCCTTCGGCCCAGGGCGTGATCCTGGAGTCCCGGAATCAAGTCCCACATCGGGCTCCCCGCACGGAGCCTGCTTCTCCCTCTGCCTGTGTCTCTGCCTCTCTCTCTTTCTCTGTGTCTCTCATGAATAAATAAATAAAATCTTTTAAAAAATAAAATAAAATAGAGGTTCATGGGGTGCCTGGCTGGCTCAGTCAGTAGAGCATGTGACTCTTGATCTTGGGGTTGTGAGTTCAAGTCCCACATTGGGTGTACAGATTGTTTAAATTTTTTTCAATCTTTAAAAAAAATAAAATAGGGATTCATTAGGACTATCTGAAATATAAATGACATCAACACTCAGACTCTTCAGCCTACAAAGGACCATCCATGATGAGGGGTCATCTACAAATGTTTACTTTACCAAAGGCTAGCCTAGAAGCTTTGGGCTGATCAGGATTTCTCGGAGGGCTAGAGCTCAAGAAAAATTCGGCAAATCCATCACCCATGAAGCCAGTGGCTGGCCTGGATTGAGGTATCTGGTGGCAGGGGAGGTGTATTGGTTGTTGGATCTGGCCAGAGCAGCCAGGGAAATGGAGCAGGAACCAGAGAAGAGGAACCAGAATATGCCAGAGGCAGATGGGACTCAGAAGATTTGGGTCACCATGTGACCTTGGTCAAGGTACTTGGTCCCTAACGGCCCAGTGACTGCTCTTGTTTTATCACTGCTCTTCAACTATGGGTTGTGATCCATTAATGGGTCAGGAACTCATTTTAGTTAACAGAGACCAGTGTTATAAAAATGAAATAAAAGAATAGAACATTCCAGGGGTGCCTGTTCGGCTTAGTTGGAGGAGTGTACAACTCTCTCATCTCAGAGTTGTGAGTTCAAGCCCCACATTGGGTGTAGAGATTATTTAAGCAAATAAATCTTAAAAAAAAATTCTGGAGCATATCACAGAGTAAGTACTGGTTTGTGAAATGTGTTTTCATTGGCTGTTTTTTTTTTTTTAAGATTTTTATTTATTTGAGAGAAAGAGAGCAGGAGCAGGGTGAGGGGCAGAGGGAGAAGCAGATGCCTCGCTGAGCAGGGAGCCTAATGTGGGATCATGACCTGAGCCAAAGACAGACACTTAAGCAACTAAGCCACCCAGGCGCCCATAGTTGTTTTTTGTTGTTGTTGTTTTTTTTTTTAATTTTTATTTATTTATGATAGTCACACAGTGAGAGAGAGAGAGGCAGAGACATAGGCAGAGGGAGAAGCAGGCTCCATGCACCGGGAGCCCGACGTGGGATCCGATCCCGGGTCTCCAGGATCGCGCCCTGGGCCAAAGGCAAGCGCCAAACCGCTGCGCCACCCAGGGATCCCAGTTGTTTGTTTTTTGTTTTCAAGATTCTATTCATTTACTTGAGAGAGAGAGAGAGAGCATGTGAGCAGGGGAGAAGAGGGAGAGGGACAAGCAGACTTCACACTGACACAGAGCCTGCTGGGGGGCTCAGTCCCACAACCCTGAGATCATGACCTGAGCCAGATTCAAGAGTGGCCAGTTAAATGACTAAGCCACCCAGGAGCCCCGTGTTTTTTTTTTTTTTTTTTTCCGTGTTTTGGTTTTATGTGTATGTTTAAGTATACTACGTAATATGTATTTCTTACGTTGGGTCAAAATTAAAAAAAAAAAAAGATTTGAAAGCCAAACTTTTTGGATTCTTTATCAGTAGACAACAACATAAAAATTAAATAGTAAGGAAACATGTACAAGGTTTTTCTTTGTAGTAGCAAAGAATTGGTAACAATACCAATATCCATGTAATGAAAAGTGTGCAACAGTTAAAATGAACCAAAGCTACATGTATCAGTACAAACAGTGTTGGGGCACCTGGCTGGCTCAGTTGGTGGAGTGACTTTTGGTCTTGGGGTCGTGGGTTTGAACCCTATGTTGCAGGTAGAGAGATTATGTAAAAATAAAATCTTTTAATAAAATAAAAATAATGTGGAGTAAAAACAACGAGCTGCTGATGAATTTATTTATGTGAAGTCTTAAAATAGGCAAAATAATAGATGTTGCTTAAGGATAGTGGACATCTCTAATGAACCTATGGAGACACACATAGAATGATAAACACAAAATTTTTTAAAGATTTTATTTATTCAAGAGAGACACAGAGAGAGAGGCAGAGACATAGGCAGAGGGAGAAGCAGGCTCCTCACAGGGAGCCCGATGTGGGACCCTGGGATCACGACCTGAGCTGAAGGCAGACGCTCAAGACGCTCAACCACTGAGCCACCCAGGCGTCCCTAAACACAAAATTTGAAATGTACTCTACTGGTTACCATAGAGCGGGAGGATACAGTGGGGTGGGGACAGAAGTGTCCAGCGAGCTTTAACTGTAATGGTGAGACTGTAGTTCTGAAATTGGATAGTGGCTAAGTGGAAGCTTAATATATCAATCTTGATTTCCTCACTTTATCATATATTCATTTTATTTTTTTCCAGTTTTGAGATATAATTGTCATATAACATATCAGTGTAAGGTGTACATGATTTGATGTGTGTATGGGAGGTGGTTGCATAGTTCAGATTCCTTCTGTCATCACAGTTAAAGATTTTCCTCTTGTGATAAGAATTTTTATTTTTATTTACTTTTTTAAAAGATTTTATTTATTTATTCATGGGAGACACACACAGAGAGAGGAACAGACACAGGCAGAGGGAGAAGCAGGCTCCATGCAGAAGTCCCACGTCACTCGATCCCGGGTCTCCAGGATCACACCCTAGGCTGAAGGCAGCGCTAAACTGCTAAGCCACCCGGGCTGCCCATGATAAGAATTTTTAAAATCTGCTGTCTCAGTAAGTTCAAATATACAATACATTTTTAAAAGATTTTATTTATTTTTTCATGAGAGACACAGAGAGAGAGGCAGAGACATAGACAGGGAGGAGGCTCTCTGCTCCCTGCCTGATACGGGACTCGATTCTGGATCCCGGGATCATGCCCCAATCCGAAGGTAGATGTTCAACCACTGAGCCTCCCAGGTGTCCCTACAATATAATATTACTAACTATAGTTCTCATACTGTATATTATGTATATTATGTCCCTGCTAATGTATTACTCTTGATTATCTTGTATATGTCTAAAATATTTCATAATTTAACAAAATTAGAATGGAAGAAAAAGGTTTTGAGCAATTATCCCAATATATGTAAATCTATGCAGAGTATTGTTAATTTTACATGCCACATATTAATGAATATTGCTAAATGTTAGAAAACCTAAGCAAATCAATCAGTAATTACTGTTAAACCATGAAAGTGAATATTAGTAAGGCTTAATTATTTTTATTTTGGATACTTTTAGATATTTTTCCATACCCTGCTAGATTGGCTTGGGCATTTCCCCAGAGGTACTTGCACTCCACTTTGGAAGGACTTTAAGTTTTAGCAGTGTCTCAAGTTATGGTGCTCTGAACACATGCCTCAGAATTATCCTAAGATCTTGTTAAAGATCTCGTCCCAAAGTGGGGCAGGGACCAGGAATCTATTTCTTAATAAGTGCACTGGTGGTTTTGATGCCCTGCTACAGAGTGGTATGGATGTTCTGAGCTATTCAAAGCAGCTGGGGATTTTGGCAAGTCAGGTACAAGGCCTGCCCTCGAGCTTCCAGGCTGCATGGGCTGGTGTGGCCTCCTTCAGCAGCTCACCCGTCTCCCTCCCACTCAGGAAGCCGATGCCAGTGGAGGACTCTGAATGCAGCTCTGACGACACCAGCATTTCCCCCATCTCATCCACCTTGCTGAATCCCATCAAACTGGCTGTGACCCAGCCCAACAGCAGCTTCTTTGCAGGAATGCTAGAGGGCGAGCTGAACAAACTCAGCTTCTCCTCAATTGGCAAGGATACAGAAAAGAAGGACCTGGCCCTCTGCCCCCACCAATCCAAGTCTCAAATGGCCCCTGGGGGCCTGCTGGACCTTGACAACCCTGAACTGGACACAGACACCTCGTCGACACCCTCAGAGTCCTCTGTGGTCATGGATGTGCCGGAGGCACCCTTCATCTGTGAACACACAGTCAGCGATTCCACGGCTGTGGTATGTTTCCCTCTTGGTGCATTCAGCAAGGGCTTCCTGGGCGCCCCCGTGTGCCAGGCTCTGAGCTGAGCTCCATAGGGAGTGTGAAGGTGCCTACCACCTGCATCCTACCCTAGAGCTCCTGGCTCAGGAGAGCCGCCATGTCTGGTAGGAACTCCAGTGCCAGCTGGAATGGGTGTGGTGCTGTAGGAAGAGCTCAGACCAAGTGCCACCAGGAATTCAGAGGAAGAAACATTACATCCAGGTGCAGGAAAAAGCTTGGTGGCTTTGGTAACATTTGAGCTGGGACACACAGGGAGGATTTAAACATCCAGAGATGGGAGAATGGCATTCCATGGAGGGGCTGACAAGAGCAATGCCTCACAGGCGGGAAAATTTGGGAGCACACAGCCGGGTCCCAATCCAGGCCTTCTCGCACTTTTCTGTGCCTGCACATCCAATCATCTTGTTAAAAAGGAGATTCCTGGGCCTCATCCCTAGAGATTCTGATTCAGTAAGTCTGGAGTGGGCCCTGAGAATTTGTATTCGCTCAGAGGTCCTACAATGTTAGGCTACCTTACAGATTTTTTTCCGTAAGCAATAGAGGACAGAGAGCTTTTGCAAAGCTTTGTATCTGGTGGTGGATGCAATTTGTGCTGTATTTTAGGAAGATAAATCTGGAAGTCCCAGATGAGCAGTGTCTCAAAAGTGTGGTTCTCAGACCAACAGCATCAGCATCCTATGGCAACGTGTTTGAAATTTAAATGTTTTTTTTTTTAAGATTTTATTTGTTTATTCATGAGAGACAGAGAGAGAGAGGCAGAGACATAGGCAGAGGGAGGAGGGAGAGGCAGGCTCCACTCAGGGAGCCCGATGTGGGACCCAATCCTGGGTCCCCAGGACCACGCCCTGGGCTGAAGGTGGCACTAAGCCACTGGGCCACCGGGGCTGCCCTGAAATTTAAATTCTCATCCCCTCCGCCTCTACCTTAGGCCTACTGAACCAGAAACCATGGGGGCTGGCAATCTGTTTTAACAAGTCCTATAGGGTATTCTGATGCACATCCACTTTTGAGAACCACTGGCCTGGATGGAGGGGAGAAGGAAACCAGACAGGAGGCAGCAGGGCCAGAAATCTGCAGTGTTATAAAAACTCCCTGAGCATCTCAGCCAGGTGTGGCAACCACTATTGTAGCACAAAGCATGTAGGCTCTGGAGCTACTGGTTTGAACTTTGGCTCTGGCGCTGTGTGTGACCACAGGCCAGCCACTCACCCTCTGAGCTTCATCTGCAATGAGCAAGATGGACAAGATGATCTCTAAGGGCCCTCCCAACTAGTCTTGGAGAAATATGGGATGGGGGCACACTCTGAGGTGGGTGGGGCTGCCCAGGGAGGGTCACCTATGCTGCAGGCCGGGAGTGCCTTACACCTTCCATCAGACCTGCCTTGGCCCCAAGAGGGGCAGGGGATGGGAGTGGGGCATTTAGACCCATGGCTGAGGGTGGAAGGGGAGGGGAGGACAGCCTGGAGCAGGTCTGAGGAAGCCTGGTGGGGTGGGGGGGCTCTCTTCCTCTAGATTTCCTGGACGTATGCCCTGGGCAAGCAGCAGGTCAGTTTCTACCAGGTCCTGTTGCAGGAAGTGGCCAAAACAAATGATAATGAGCCACCCAAGGCAAAGAATCGCCCATGGATCTTCAACAAGATCTTGGGCACCACCGTCAAGCTGATGGAGCTGAAGCCTAACACGAGTTACTGTCTCACCGTCCGTGCAGCTAACACAGCTGGGGTGGGGAAGTGGTGCAAGCCCTACAAAGTGAGCCCTGGGAGAAGAGGGCCCGGTGATGGGGGTGGGCCAGGGAGAGGTCTGAGCCAGGGGTTTTGGAGGCTGGGGACACCACTATGCCCCCATGGCTCATCTTCCTGCTGGCTTTCTGCCTAGGAGAATGAGCACAAATTCTAGTCTTTCATCTGGGAGGTTTAAGGATTAAGCCACTCCAGGGTGTACTGGGAATGCAAACTAGTATATTCATCAGCATCTCTGTAATGTTCAGCTCCCAAGGCCATTAGTTTTGGGATTCTTCAGCTTAGTACCAAGAATTGTGAGTGGGCCAGGAAAGTGAAGGGCATTGAGAGAAATACAGGGAAAAGGCAAAAGGGGGACAAAGAGAAGGGAGTAGGCAGGGGTGTGGGGGAAGGCTTGAGGACAGACAGCCCTGTGGTTGGAAACCTCACATTACAGGGAAGACATATGTCGGTACCTGTTCTGGGTGTCCATGAACAGGTGGTAAGGCCATGCAAGACCCCATTTGGCAAACAAAGCTGAGGTAGGGTCAGGTCTGGGAAGGAATTCTGAGAGGTTTTGCTTTATTTCAGTTTGCAACCGTGGCCACTGACTTGAACAGCTTCCCTGAGAATAACCCCATCCAGATTACTGTGCAGCGCAAGGAACCCCAGAGGAAAACGGTGTCCATCGGGCTAGAGGATATGCGGAAGCTCGAAGATCTGGAATACCTATTTCCCTACTAAAGCGGGCCCAAGGAAGTCCCTTACCTACCTTCAGCTTCAGCCCAGGGCTCTCAGGAACAGAACTGTGAAATGGACCACCAGCACTATGCCAGGGAATTGCTGATCACCCTGCCCAGGGCCTGGTGCAGTGGTCCCCAAACTCCACTTCTGGGTTGGGGCTGAGGCTAGACAGGAGCCCCATTCACCTGGAGACGCCACAGGCCAGGCCAGGTCTGCCACTGCCCGCAGCTGCTAGGCATCCCCCTCCCCAGATTCGGGCTGGGTCCAGATCCCTTATTAAAGCACTGCAGGTCACCCAGCACCCTGAATTCTGCTTCATGCTGGCAGCTGGGTTAGCTGCCATCTGCCGGAACCAAGAGTCCAGGTTGGGGGGTGGCGGGGCAATGGGATGTTATCCACACCTACTGCCTGGCTCTGCTAATATCACCCCTTTCCCACGTGAGGAAGAAATGTTATTTTAGGACCAGGAAAAAGAGCAATGCTGGCAGAGGTGGTGGCAGCCTGTAGACTGTCAACATCAGACTTCGGCCCTGGAAGGACAGAGTGCTCAGTTTAGGAGCACAGTCTGATTTGATCTTGGTTTTTCCTGGATGTGAGGGCATGGACAAACTGTTTAAGCTCCCTGGGCTAGTTCAGGGATGTAAGAACTCAAAGTAGGACAGTGGGGTTACCTGAGGATCACATGAGCGCACAGCAGGACAAGTACCTCCACAGGTACACACCCTTTACCTTCATGCAGTCTCATTGCAGGGACATGCAACAAAAGAGACCAAGAAGAACCAGCTGATATGCAAAATCCTGAGAGCAGGGTGTGGGGAAGCGGTGGGGAGGAGGGGAGGAACAAGAGGTTAGAAATGCCGTGGCCCTGAGCAATCCACACAAGGACAGTTTAGAATCCAACCAGGGAAGGTTGCCTGAGATTTGAAACAGAAAGTAGAGGCAGGATGGAAGGCAAGATATTGGTCAAAGGTCTGAGGACATCCAGTAGGGATTCCCTTCAATCGTGAAAGTCCTCATGGGCCAAAGACTCATCCTCCCATGTCAGGCCACACCCACTGCTGCTCCAACTCTCACCTCTGTGAGCTCTGGGGCAGCTGTCACCTTCTGCTCTGTACCCCAAGCCCAGGACAGTGGTCGCTGCACTGTGGGGCCTCAAGAAGAATGCTGCGTGTGAGAGGGGCTGAGGAAAGCAGCCCTCAAGCAGCTGGCCCACAGAACTCCCCGTGGTGATGAAGGTGGTCTTGACCTATGCTATCCAATGCAGTGAGGAGCCTGATGCTAGCCACACAGGATTGCATTCCTAGCCATATGGAGTTCTGGTAAACGGAGACAGCCACATGTGGCTAGCGTCTACCACACTGGATGGCACAGGCTCAGATTTTCCTCTGGCTACTACCCTATGGCTTAAGCCAGTCTCCCCTGCCCCAGCTGGCCTCTCCTCGTAGGCACAGGGGAAAGAGAAGAACAGCAACTTCCTGGACAGTATGGATTTGGTGTTGCCCAGATGGAAGACATACACACTATTAGCATAGTCCTCCGGTGGGCCTTGGGATTCTAGGACAAGGAACTACAACCCAAACACACAAAATATAAGTTATTTATTTGGTCACAGAATCTAGGGCCTGACACTGAATATAACATTTAGGAAAGGCGACGGGCCGGCAGCAGGGGTCCAGTCATTGCCTGGCACCATCCCCACCCCACCCCTGCCCCCGCCAGGTACAGAGTGATGGCCGAGGGCAGAGCTCAGTTATATTGTCCCGTAAGCTCCACTCTCCTGCTCTGGGGAGGGACCCCACTGGGATCTGTCCAAGGACAGCAAACCATGCTGGTCTGCAGGGTTACCACCCTGGCCTTTTGTCTGTGTCAGGGCAGGCAGCTGGCAGCGGCAAGTCCAAGGAGGGGTCACACGGAACATAGGATTTCTCATCTCCTCCATCTGTGGAGAAGGGGGAGGGAATAGCAGGGGGATCCCATCTTGGGAAAGGGAGGCTGCCATATAATCCCAGGAGCCTACTACAGGGAGAGCTTGGGGTTCACTCGGTCATTAAGAGCCTGGCTACCATCTCTGCTCTAGCTACCCACTCAGGCTTGGCATCCACTGCCTGCCCTGGCCAAGACCTCATCCCAGGGCCCACCAAGGTCATCCAGTAGCAAACAATGACAATTCTTCACAAGTACACATGCTTCAGGTTCCCAAGTGTGTTCATCTCTTATCTTTGATCTTCCTGTCTACTGAGGCTTGGTAACTCCCAGGAGGCAAGTGAACCACACTCTCCAAGACTACACAGTGAAAGCCAGAGCCAGGACTGGAACTGAAAACTATCGCCTTGTGCTAGAGGGCCCCTGGGCTCACCCTCTGGAGAGCACCTATTCCCTGTAATTCCGCAGCCCTCCCTTTTAACCACCCAGAGAACCTGGTGCCACACTGTCTTAGGCCCCTGGAGAGCCCTCAGAATTCTCCACCAGAAGGGAAAGGTGCAAAGAGTGACCACCTTAAGGGCAAGACAGCCAAGCACACACTCACATCCGGAGGCATTTGTCCTTCCCGCCACTTGCCACTCTCTGGCCATCTGGACTCCAGTCAACAGCATATACCTAAACCAAGGCAGGAGTTGGGGGAGGCAGGTCAGTAAGGAGGGTGGGAGGACAGGAGGGCCAGGCTTCACCACATGCCCCGCCTCTGCTCACAAGGGTTGGCCATACCTCATCTGCGTGGCCTGGCAGATCTGCTGCCAGCTTCTGGGCCTTCACATCCCATACCTTCAGCGTGCTGTCGCTGCTGCCACTGACCAGGAGCCGGCTATCGGCTGACCAGGCGATCTGATACACAGCAGCCACATGGCCACGTAGGGAAGCCAGGTACCTGGGCCAGGAAAAGGTGATGGTGGGTATTAGGTCTTCAAACATGTCTGAAGGGGCCCCTATGCCCACAGCAGTGATTCTCAACCTTAGCTACACATTAGGATTACCCGGGAACTTATACAAAATCTCACTGCCTAGCCCCAACCCCGGTGTGATCATTACCAAGGTTGTAACGATTTTGTACAACTTTTCCAAATAAGCGGCTTCTAGTGTGCCTCTTGCCAGGCCTCTGTACCTGGACAACTCTGCGTGACTTAGAATCCAATGCGGCCACCTGCCTAGCCCATCTGCCTGATATCCCCCAACACAAGCTGCCTGCTGACAAGTGCCATGGAATAACAGTGGGCTAGGCCCACCTGGAACTTTCAGATCAATACAAATTAGCTATGTCTATTTGGACAAGAGTTGGCCCCTCTGAGACTCAGTTTCCTTATCTTAAAGAGGAATGGAATGAGCTATTTCAAAGGCTGCTATATGGAAATCCACAACGGCTGAGACCGAGGTGCCCCTGTGGCCACCACAAAGGTTTCCCTTGCCCCTTTTCTCCTCTTGCCCATGCCCCTGCCTCTCCTCTAACCTATCAACCTCAAGGCCACGGTGGCTCATTACACCAGTGCTTCTCAGACTATAATGGGAGCAGGATCACCTGGTGAGCTTAATAAAATGCAGATTCTGATTCACAAGGTCTAGGGTGGGGCCCAAGGTTCTGCATTGCTAACAAGCTCCCAGATGATGCTGGCAGCTGCTGGTCTGTGGATCACACTTTGAGGAGGGCCAGGAAATGACTACCCCTCAAATCTACACTTCTGCCACATGCCTGGCCATCTTATTTCTCTCCTTTGATATGAAAGGAACTAGCATTTCAGTGCCATCTATTGCCAACCCTAAATATACCATTTCACTTAAACCTCGTAACGAAGCTGAGACGCCTATCACAAAAGAGCAAAGGCTCAGGATATCCAAATGCTTGCCAAGGCTATGTAGCCAATAAGTGGCAGAGCCAAGCTCCTCCCAGAGGATTAGGGCCTTTCTTCTCCCTCCCCACGCCCCCACTCACTTGCCCGTCCTGCCGTCCCACAGTTTGATGGATTTGTCGAAGGAAGCGCTGGCAATAATGCGGGAGTCAGGGGAGAAGAGCACCTGGTTGATGAGGGCCTGGTGTCCTGTCATCCGTGCAAGGGGCTTTTTGTCTTCTGTTGGGGACCACATGAATAAGGTGAAGTCATCTGAGCCAGACACCAGCCTCTCTGGGCCCTGGCCCTAGGAGAGGCAGAAAGCACACTGTGTTGGAGACTGTCTCAGACAGAAGAGCCTGACCTTGGCGGCAAACGCACCACTCATTACCCACCAGCATAGGAGCTAGCACTAGGAGAAATAAGCCCTGGCCAGCTATGAACTCAGATGGGACCCTTGGCAAATCACTTCCCCCAAAGGTAACTTTATGCAGATGAAATAATTTCTAATCACTGTACATAATTACAAAAAAAAAAAAGCAAGGTACAGAATCATGTATTTGAAAAGGGAAGGAGGAAAAAATAAAAAAAAATAAAAAATAAAATAAAAAGGGAAGGAGGGATGCCTGTCTGGGTGGCTCAGTGGTTGAGCGTCTGACTTCGGCTCCCAGGATCAAGTTCCACATCGGGCTCCCTGCAGGGAGCCTGCTTCTCCCTCTGCCTGTCTCTGCCTCTCTCTCTGTATCTCTCATGAATAAATAAATAAAATCTTAAAAAAAGAAAAAAAAAAGGGAGGAATTGGGGCTCCTGGGTGACTCAGTTGGTTAAGCAGCAGACTCTTGATTTCGATTCTGGTCATCTCAAGATCGTGGGGTTGAGCCCCGAGAAGGGCTCCATGCTGGACACACTTAAGATTCTCTCTCTCCCTCTGCAGCGCCCTCCCACTCTGCTCTTATTCTCTCTCGCAAAAAAAGATTTTTCATGTGGGTTTGTATGCATATGTACGTATGAAGTCTTTGGAAGGAAACACACGCTACTAGTAGCATGTTTTATTTATTTATTTTAAAGATTTTATTTATTTACTCATGAGAGACACAGAGAGAGAGCGAGGCAGAGACACAGGCAGAGGGAGAAGCAGGCTCCATCCAGGGAGCCCAATGTGGGACTTGATCCGGGACTCCAGGATCACGCCCTGAGCCGAAGGCAGGTGCTAAACTGCTGAGCCACCTAGGGATCCACAGTAGCATGCTTTTAGAAGAAATAGAAGGGCAACAGAAATGGGAGACTTTTTCACTATATCCCTTTTTGTGTTCTTGGAACCTTAGACTATATGAATGTTACTTTTTTTTTAAAAAAAAAGAAGGGTACCTGGGTGGCTCAGTTGGTTGAACATCCAAATCTTGGTTTCAGCTCAGGTCATGATCTCAGGGTCGTGAGATCAAGCCCTGAGTCAGGCTCCATGATCAGTAAGGAGTCTAGTTGAGATTCTTTCTCCCCCCACACCCTCCACTCATGCTTGTTCTCTCTCCCTCTCAAATAAATGAATCTTAAAAAATAAAATAAGGGGTGCCTGGGTGGCTCAGTTGGTTACATGTATGCCTTTGGCTTAGGTTGTGATCCCAGGGTCCTGGGACTAGGCCCTGGAATCAGGCCCCATGTCAGGCTCCCTGCTTAAAGGAGCCTGCTTCTCCCTCTCCTCTGTCCCTTCCCACTTGTGTTTTTTCTCTTGCTCTCTCTCCCAAATAAATAAAATCTTAAAAACAAAACAAAACAAAATAGAAAACTCAGTAAGTAGAAAGCAAATAAAACAAAATGATTAAAATGATCCCTATGTGTTAAGATTTTAGGACTGTAAACTGAATTATAATGAAGAACTTTCTGGAAAAGGAAAGTCTGAGCTGCAGCCAGAAGGTGGGAAGAGACTGGGTGTCTGCAAAATGTTTCAGGGACCAGTAGAGGATGAGTACAGAATTGGGCATGCTGGCGACTGGCACACACTCACCCGCACGAGGTTGTATCGCCTCAGAGCCCTGTCCTTCAACTCCTGCACTATAGCCAGGTACCGGAGAGAGAGGAGATGATGAATGAGGCTGATTAGAAAATTTTACACCAACAGCAAACGTCCTGGCCCAGGTCCAAATCTTGCACATTAAGCTAGAGAAGTGGCCCCTTCCCCAGGGGGCCCCCTCCCACCCACTCACAGGATCCTTTGAGGTCTTGGGCATTGATCGAGGCCTCGGCTGGCTCAAAGGCACCTGTGCGCAGGGCGTAGTCAGTGCTGAGTGCCATGGTATTCACCCAGTGGCCATGGCCTTGCAGAGTCCGGCACAGCACACCCTAGGGCAGAGGGAGACAGGTCAGACATACCCCACTCTCCACCCTAGGGAACTGGTACTCCCAGGTTAGCCCCAGAAGACAGTGACGTGGGACTCAGAACCAGGATCCTCATTCACTGTAGTCTTAATCATATCACCCCTCTGGGCTCAAGTCTCTCATATCTAAAATGAGTGAACTGGGGGGCACCTGGGTGCCTCAGTCAGCTGGGCATCTGCATTCAGTTTGGGCCCTAATCTTGGAATCCAGGGACAGAGCCCTGCATCAGGCTCCCTGCTCAGTGGGGAGTCTGCTTCTCCCTCTGCCCCTCACCCTGCTCCTGCTCTCTCTTGCTCACTGTCTGTCAAATAAATAAATAAGATCTTTAAAAAAAAAATAAGATGAATGTACTAGGCTAGATCATGGTTTCTGAATTCCTGGAAAGGAAGTTAAATATGTGAGAATACATGGGCTCCAGTCAAGTAAGTCTGGGATCTGGCAAGTTCCATAAAGCTATCAGGCTTCCTACAGCAGGAGTTTCTGGACTGTGCTAATGAACACTAGAACCTCCACTATCATACAGCACCAACCACAGGACCCACCATTCTCGAAGCGCCTCCCCTGACCTGGATCCCAGAACACACTGGCCAACATTCTTTCCAGCCCTGGCATCCCATGGCCTGAGATTTCCCCAGATTACTTTCCGGACCCTCCCAGCTCTTACATCATGAGCCCTCCAGACTTTGATGGTACGGTCCTGCGAGGCAGAGTAGAGAAGCCCGTCCCCTCCCCACCGGAGACAGGTGACTGACTGCGTGTGCCCGGTGAGGATGCGCTCACAGCGGCCTGCAGTTGTATCCCAGACCCGCACGCTGCCATCCTTGGAGCTGCTGGCCATGTAGCGGCATTCTGGGTTCCTGGAGAGGGGGAGATGGGGCCTCGCTTCTGGCCTGACAATGCCCACAGCACCTTCCTATGCTTAGCTCGAAGGCCAGGGACAGGGACTCGACGGCTTCCTGACCCAAGGTCGAGCTGCACTGCAAGGTAGTTCTCATGCCCCACGATGAGCAGCCCCTGCCCCAAGCAGCAACAAGGGCTTGGAAGACCTACCCCACTGCTTGCATGCCATTACTGTCAGTCAGGCTGGCCATCTCGCCCCCTGAGCAGGGGAGAGGAGTTTTGAACCCCTATCTTCTTATTCCCCCCCCCCCAGCTCTATCAGTGCCACTTACGCATGGAGGGGCTCCCAACTCAGGCCTGTGATCCACTTGCTATGGCCGGCGAGGACCCTGCCCACCTGCTTCCCTGTGCTTGGGTCCCACAGGAGAATCTGAAGGAAAAAGCTTACTGAATAACCCTCCCTGAACTGTCCCTGGGCCCACCAAAGGTGCCTGCCCACTGCCTCCAACCCATCCTCCCCTCAAGATGACCCAGAACCCCTGCCTCATTACCCTGACTGCCACCTACCTGGCCATTCTTGCAGCCTGAGGCCAGTGTTTTGCCGTCTGGGGACCAGGATATGCTAAGCACCCAGTGTCTGTGTCCTAGGAAAGCAGGGGAGGAAGAAGGAGGGAGCACATCTGTCTTTATTTTCAGAGCCTAGCAGTGCCTGGCACTCCTCAACTGGGCCTTGAATGAATGAGCAGCTGAACAAAAGTAGAGAGGAGGCTTTCTAGGCAAAGGGAGAATCCACCCCAAGTGCAAAAGCCATGCATCCTGCTGTGTAGATCATACTTTCACTTTCTAATAATTCCTTACACGATACATGGTATCAAGTGTTTGTACACATGTCATTACTTGTAATTCTGATAGCTCTGTGGTGCAGAGCAGGAATTATCCCTAATTTTTCAGATGATAAAACTGAAGCTTAGGGAGCATGCTCTACACACACAAGGCCACCCAGCTAGTGTGCAGTCCCCAGATCAGAAGCATCAGCACCAGCTGGGAACCTGAAATGCAAATTCTCAGGCAGCATCTCAGAACTAAGGAGACAAAAACTGGGGGTGGGCCCCAGCAATAAATATGTTAACAAGATTCTCAGGTGATTCTGATGCATGTTCAAGTGTGAGAACTAATGTGGTAGAGGCTGGATTTAAGCCAGGTTCTCCTTGCTACCAGCCAGTTAGCACAACCCGCAACCCCACAGTGACTCTCTGGTGCAGTCTCTTCTTGTTTGTAAGTGGCCGGCTGGGCTCAAAGGAGCAGTCTACTTAGAAGCAAGCAGCTGCTAACTGGCTGTGAAGGGCCTGAATCAGCTCTGAGCCTCCTCAGGAACTAAAGAGCTGAGTAAATGATCACACACCCACCACTGGGTTAAGACCACCTGCAAAGCTAACTGCGTACTGACCCTGGCATGTGAAATACGGTGTCTCGGTGCTGAGATCCCAGAAGCGCACAGTGGTGTCTCCGGAGCCACTGGCCAGGTACCTGGGGAAGAAGAGAGGCCACCTGATTTTTGCAGTGGGGACAAGGGGTAGGGCCTACACCAGAACACCGCATACATGCATTTCGGCTGCCTATTCAATTGTCTTCTGGGCACAGAATCTGAAGCTGGACTTTTCTCTCTTCCTTGAGAAAGAGAAATGTAACACTGATACCATCTGTGAGAAGACCTCAGGTGGTCTTTTCTCTCCTCTTCCTTTCTGAAAGGAATGGCCACAGCTGTAATCAGGAATGAAGCTTCTCATTCTCCTCGTACAATTGCAAAAAGCAAATAAAATTCAGTTTCACAGATGATGAATTAAGTCAGAAAGTGACTAGTCCAGGTCACACAGCTAGGAAGCTCACAGCTAAGGTCTCCTGAGATCAAGTCCAGGAAGGATTCTTCCAAGGTGGGTGTCTTTCAAGACCAAACCAAAGACCAAGGGAAGTCCCTTACCTTCAACTTAAGCCCAGAGCTCAGGTCTGTGATAAGCAGCCTGAGGCCCTATTGACTGTAACTTGGGGTGTTCTCCCCACCCAGCCAGAATGCACTCCCACACCCCACCCCATGATTCTGCAGCTGTCCTTACTTTCCTGTGGGGCTGAAGGCCACAGAAATGACTGCCTCACTGTGACCTTCCAAAGAGCTGGTGCAGCGGGTCACAGCACGAACCCTGAAGATGGCCTGGGGCTGGTAGATGATGTCAAGGACCTTCTCTGTCTCCACCGCCTGTGACTCCAGCGTCTTCCCCAGTGATGAAGTGATCTCAGCATCATGGACATAGAAAGCCAGTGGCAAGGGATCCTCCTGGAGGGCAATGGCAAAGGGCAACTCCCCCATCAAAGGACAGGCAGGAGCACTCCCCACTGGGCTGTGGGCAGCTGAAACTTTATTCTTTTCCACCACTGTCTGGGATGCCCCCACCATGCCCACTGAGGATACTTACACAGTACTTTAAAATCCTTTATCTGCATCTCACAACCACCCTGGGAGGTGGGCACTCATATTCTCGCTTGATAAATGATAAAACTGAGGCTCAGAGCAGCTAACTAATAATTAGCCCAACGTCCAATGTCCTATTGCTCAGGACTAAGTCGAGTGCTTCAAAAAGAAAGTTCAGGTCCTGAGTCAGTGTTACTACACAGAACTGGACAGTATTTTTCTAAACCACCACGCCATGCCCTAAAATGTGTAACAAGCATCCAAAAAAAGCTGGCTGAAAATGCAGACACTCACTGCCTCACCCCAGAGTCTTGGTAAATCTGGGGTGGGGTCCAGGGTACGCCCCCCCCCCCCCAGGCAGCATTTTGATAAACACAGGCTTCGAGGAGCAAGGGTTTTGAATCTGACATTTGGGTTCCAAAGCCACCATCGGCTGCGGAGCATCGCAGGTAGGTCAGTGGCCGCCCGTGGGTCACTCTGTAACACAGGGACGTCGACGAGGAGCTGCGTCGGGGAATTGGACGGTGCCTCAAGGCCTGGGAACGCGGTGCCGGCCTCTCTGCAGCTGGACCCCGGGCCCGGCGCCAGGTCCCCCCCCACCCCCCTCCCGCGCGCCGGGACCCCCGCGCCCCGAGCCGCAGGCCTGCCGGGCCGGGGCGGGGCAGGGCCGGGGCAGGGCCGGGGCAGGGGGCCGCGCGGCCGCCGCTCACCTGGGCCAGCAGCGCGTGGCACACGAGCTGCAGCCGCTCGGGGGTGATGTCCACCGGCACGTCGAACGGGGAGCCCAGCAGCCGGCCGCCCTCATCCTGGAACTGCACCAGCAGCCGCTGCACGTCGCGCGCCGCCGCCTCGCCCTGCGCACAGAGCCGCGGGGTCAGCCGCGCCGCCCGCCGGGGAAGGAGCCGGCCCCGCGCCCCGCGCCCCGCGCCCCCGCCCGCACTCACGCACCCCCGCCGCCGCCGCCGCCGCCGCCGCCGCCGCCATCCCGGGTCCCCACGTGGAGGACAGAGAGCCCGGCGGGACAGAGCGCCGCGTCCGGGGCGGGGGGAGTGGGGCGGCCGCCCGCGACATCGCCCTCTGGTGCGGCGGAGGGCAAGTGTCACGCCCTCCCAGCGCCGCGCAGGGCACGGACAGCCTTTTGTTTCTGTAGAACGGGGATTCTGGCTCCACTTTATAGATGAGGAAGTCGGGGCTCTGAGAAGTTGATTTCCCCCCAAAATCAGAGACAGGAGTGGCAGAAGACTAATTTGGCTTGGCTCTGGGCCGCAGCAGCCTGGCGGGCGGGCTTACAGAACCAGAGCCTGTTGGCTTGAAGGAAGAAATTAGTATTCCCTCCTTTTTTTTTTTTTTTTTTAAGATTTTATTTATTCATGAGAGACACAGAGAGGCAGAGAGATAGGCAGAGGGAGAAGCAGGCTCCCTGCAGGGAGCCTGTCGGGGGACTGGATCCCAGGACTGTAGGATCACAACTGGAGCCAAAGGCAGATGCTCAACCACTGAGCCATCCAGGTGCCCTGTGTTTTTTTTTTTTTTTAAGATTTTATTTATTTATTCATGAGAGACACACAGAGAGAGAGAGAGAGAGAGAGAGAGAGAGAGAGAGAGAGAGGCAGAGATACAGGCAGAGGGAGAAGCAGCTCCATGCAGGGAGCCTGTTGGGGGACTGGATCCCAGGACTCCAGGATCAGGCCCTGGGCTGCAGGCCCACGCTCAACTGCTGAGCCACCCGGGCGTCCCATGTTATTCTTTTTTTAACGGATCAAATCAATTCATAATTCTTGAGTACAAAAGCAAAAAGTGTCTACAGTTTTCAACACTGTAAAGCAATAACAACAATGATGAGAATGATAGCAACCTGTCAGGCATTGTTCTAGGTGCTTTACACATGTAACTCATTTAACTCTCACAAAAGCCCTACTGCCCCCACGTTACAGATGAAGAACTGAAACAGAGACCGCCTAACATGAGAGCTCTTACCAGAAACCTGGGATCTTCCTTGGCAGCCCTCCCCACATCCCGGCAGTCTCAAGCTCTGTCAATCTGGCCTCCTTAACCTGTGGTGAGTCTGTTCTCTCCACCTCCTCTCTCACACTCTGGTCTGAGTCACCATGGTTGCCTACAACAGCCTCTTGACTTGCCTCCCTGTTTCCACTCTTGCCTCTTCCCATGCATCCTCCACACTGCAACCAGGGTGCTGTTTTCAAACCAAAGATCTGGTATGTCATTCTTCACCCTAAAGTCCTACAGTGGCTCCCATTATAAACAGAACAAAATTCAAACTCCTTATAATGGTCCACTCAGCCTTACGTACCTCTCTAGCTACTCTTCTCTAAGATCAATTCTTCCAGCTTTATCTTAGTTCTTCCAAAGCATGACCCTTCTTGTGTCAGTGCTTTTGTCCTTGCAGATTTACCTGTCTGGAATTCTTATGAATTGAATTGTGTCCCTCTTCCCACCCCTACCCCCAATTCATAAGTTAAAGCCCTAACCTCCAGGGTGACTGTATTTGGAGACAGAGCCTATATGGGAGTAACAAAGAGATACCAGATATCTCTCCTTCTTTGTCTCTTTCTTTCTCTGCCCCATGCCTCCTTCTCACACAGAAAAGAGGCCATGTGAAGACAATGAAAAGGTGGCCATCTACAAGCCAGGAAGAGAAGCCTCCCTTTGGTCAGAAACCAAAGTTAATGGCACCTTGATCTCAAACTTTTAAACTCCAGAACTGTAAAAAAATACATTTCATTTATTCAAGCCATCCTGCCTTGGCAGTTTGTTACAGTAGCCTGAGCAGACAAATACAGGAACAATTCCTTATTCTTCAGGTCTTGCCTGAAATATGTGTGTGTGCATTCAGCAAGTGTCTCTGTCAGACATTGTTCTAGGAACTCTATATGTATTAACTCATTTAATCATTTACTCAAGAAACCTTCTCTGAAACAATGCCATGTTTCCCTATTATGTGTTTTCAAAATATTCTGGTATTCTTCGTATTTAGAAATCACAGATCCAGGGACACCTGGGTGGCTCAACATTTTAGCTCCTACCGTTGGCCCAAGGGCGTGAATCTGGAGTCCCGGGATGGAGTCCCACATCAGGCTCCCTGCATGGAGTCTGCTTTTCTCTCTGCCTATGTCTCTGCCTCTCACTCTCTGTGTCTCTCATGAATAAATAAATAAAATCTTAAAAAAGAGAGAGAAATCACAGATCCATGGAATTATCTCATCCATTCATTCAATGAATATTGTTGAGCCCCTGCTATGTAACACTGTGATAGCCACTTGAAATATGTAAGTGAACAAAACAGACACAAATCCTGGCCTTCACATGTGCGGAGAAGGGAGTGGAATGGGGGTAAGTGAAGAAGAACATTAGTATGGAGACACTATTCATCCATCCATTAATTAATTGAGGAAACCCGCATTGGGCACTGACTGCTGTGTTCTGTGTCAGGGAAGGTCAAACTGCATGAGATGTTGTCCTTGCCCTCTGGGAGGGAGCTCACAACCCAGGCTTGGAGATGTTGGAAGGACTCCAACGTCAAATAGGACTCAGGAACCCTCAGTCAGATGGGGAGAAACAAGTCCTTCCCTAGGGAAGACGTGTTCTGGTGGTGGAAATAGTTTTTGTCCTTGGAAGACCCCCTTCTTTTTATTTTAATTTTATTTACTTATCTCAGAGAGAAAGCACAAGCAAGGAGGAAAAGCAGAGGGAGAGGGAGAAGGAGACTCCCCACTGAGCAGAGAGCCCCGCTCAGGTCTCCATCCCGGGACACTGGAGGGACCCTGGAATCGTGACCTGAGCCGAAGACAGACGCTTAACTGAGTGAACCACCCAGGCGCCCCCACGAAGACCTCCTGATGTGGGACGCTCAGGTTGTCCCAGGGGAATCCCCATGCAGATGAGGGTACAAGTCCTTGGGCTCAGGGAATTCAGGGACTGACCCAGCTCTTGCCCAAGGACAAGACTATAGCCTGGTGGGGGATATGCAGAGCTCATCCTCAGGGAGCTCTTGCCCAAGGACAAGACTATAGCCCGGTGGGGGATATGCAGAGCTCATCCTCAGGAGCTCTTGCCAAGGACAAGACTATAGCCCGGTGGGGGATATGCAGAGCTCATCCTCAGGGAGCTCCCAGTTGGATGGGGGAGGCAGGCTTAATGCATCCACTCCACATAGATGGTAGATGCAGGAGAAGGCATACACACTGAAACAAAGGACCTGCTTACACTAAACTGAGCTTGCAAGCCCCTTGGTCTTTGTGAAAAGGAAGGACCTTTTCAACAGTGAGTGCCATAAGGGTAGGGGACATGTGGGCAAGTGGAAGAGGGGAAGGAACTCTTCTCCCTTCTTCCAACCCTCCTCCCTCCGGAAAGGCATTTCTGGAAGTCTCCAGTTGGTCCTGGACCTGGGCAGCTGCTCTGTCTAAGTCTGCCAGCCCCTCAGCTGTCACTTTGCTCCTAAAATAGCAGGGGTTGGGGGGAGAGAAGAGGTTGTTTATCTGGGGTGGAGGGGGAGAAGGGGCATTATAGCTGTGCCTTGCGGGGGTGCAGGTCCTCCCTCCTTTCTGGATCTTTCTCTCACTCTTTGTGGTATGAGGGCCTGAGTCCAAGACTGCCCCTGAACAGGACACTGGGGCAGAGGTTAGTCAGCGCTTCCACGTGGTAATGACTGTCCAGTCTGGGGAGGAGGAGGGCCGTGAGTATCAATGACAGACTCCAGGGCCACCTGCCCCTGTGGCCAAATATGGTCTGGAGCCACTGGCAGGGATGATAAAGTCTCTTGGGTGGGGGAGGGGGTAGACTAAGGCTTGGTGTCCGGGTGTTCACAGGGGAACTCCGCAGAGCAGCATCACAGGAGGACAGACCAGGAGCACTGTCCTCTAAGAAAGTGAGCCCCCTAGGAGGGTTCCTCAGACCTGGGAGGGAGAAGCCCCCCACCCCGCCTGCATGGAGAAAAACTTTTAAGGCTGACAGCGAGAATCCAGGTCTTCGGCATGGTGGCTTCACCTGTCCAGCTGGGAGGGACAGAGAGGGAGGCACAGGGACTCTTAAGACTACCTCAATCATGCTATTCTCCAGGCAAATGCTATAAAGTCCTTCTGGGTAATGGGTTTGGAGTGTTGGTGGTGGGTCCTTTCCATGCAGAACTTTCACTTTCCATCCCGGTAGGAGGAGACCCTGGAGCTCCAGACCTCAGGCCAGGAGTCCAGCCCTAGGTCTGGAGTGAGGGACTGGCCAGACAGAGCTGCTCCTGTCCTGACAGATGGCAGAGGCAGAAGCTGTGCAGCTGAAGGAGGAAGGGAATCGGCATTTCCAGCTCCAGGACTACAAGGCTGCAACGAAGAGCTACAGCCAGGCCCTGAAGCTGACCAAGGATAAGGCCCTGCTGGCCACACTCTATAGGAACCGGGCAGCCTGTGGCCTGAAAACGGTCTGGAGCGGGCAGGGCGGGAAGCTGAGGGCCAGGGCTGGGAGGCAGGGGTGTGGAGGCAGCCCCCCATCCTGATGGGCCTCATCATTGTTCCAACCTTGACTCCTGAACCCCACTCCTGCCTGACTCACTCTTCTGGGAGACAGAAACTCCTTCAGTTGGGAGTCAGCCTAATGGGCACTGGCAACATGCCAGGGCTGTTTAGATGTTATTTCGCAGCATCTTACTCACAGCCCAGTTAGCTGCTGTTTCATGCCCCTATCGCAGATGACAAGCTCAGGGCTCAAAGGGCTCAGTAACTTGCCAAGATCTCCTGGGTGATTAGCAGGGAGCCTGGGTTCAAACCCAAGCATTTGCCTAATGCCAGAGCTCATCCACTCTTCCATGCCCAGCGAGGGGCCCGCCCTTGGGCCCTTGACAGCCGGCAGCTCCCCACCAAACCTTCTCTGGCTGTCTCTGCCTGGGCCCACTTTGACCCTGGCTCCTACTTCATCTCCCTTCCTCAGGAGAGCTACGTTCAGGCGGCTTCAGATGCCTCAAGAGGTGAGTGCTCCTCCCCAGGCTCTCCCCACCCCCACCCCAGCATCCCTGTTTTGTCTAAGAGGCTCTTTGTCAATTGAAGGAATTACAGATTGTGTAAATGCCATCCTAGGCGTTATAGGCAGGGCTTCCGGTGTCCAGAGAAGCCATCCCTAGATAGCATTTTTGCAACTTGCTTTATGTATTAAATCCTAAGTCGAGGGAGATTCTTTTGTGAAAAGATGTTTCCAAAAATCCTTATGTCATGGTAAAGATACACCCTCTTCCGTTATAAATTAGGATGTGTTCCTCCTGCAACTCCCAGGACCAGAGCATCAGCCCAGTCCACTCTGTGGGGTTGGGCTCCCTAAGGAGAGGAGGGGGGCAGTAGCCCATTCCACAGGGACTAGGGAGAAGTGAACATTAACATTAACGACAACCACAAAAACCTTTAAACTCAACTTTAACTTCACCTTAGACTTAAACTTTAGGAAATGTCGGCTTAGGTCCATGATCAAAATGAGAAAACTTCTCTTGGCTGCAGGTGTTGGGTTATGTTCTGATTACTATTTTTAAGGAGAAACCGAGGTAGTCTGAAGTGAGTTCAGAAGGGAGGGAACCAGCTGAAAATACATCCTGTGAAAAGCGGGTTGAGGAAATGGCAATATTTAGCTCGGGGAAGGCAATTCCCAGGTGGGATAGAGAGCTGCTTTCAAATACCTAAGCTGTCTTCAAATATCTACAAGACTGTCACAAGGAAGAAGGATTGGATTTCATCTCCGGGGTTCCAGGGCTGAATTTAGGATAAAAGGACAAAGTTATAGAGGGAAGGGGGAAGGGTTGTCTTGATGAAGCTGCTTGGCTGCCTTGAGAAGGAGGGAGCTCAGGATCCCTGGGTGGCGCAGCGGTTTAGTGCCTGCCTTTGGCCCAGGGCACGATCCTGGAGACCCGGGATCGAATCCCACGTCGGGCTCCCGTTGCATGGAGCCTGCTTCTCCCTCTGCCTGTGTCTCTGCCTCTCTCTCTCTCTCTCTGATGTGACTATCATAAATAAATAAGAAATTTTTTTTAAAAAAAGGAGGGAGCTCCCCACTGCTGGAGGTATGAAGTCCCCGTTGGATGAGCACTTGGCTGAGATCATGATGTAGCAGAAACTGAAGCATCAGGAGCTAGATGAGATGACCCTTAAGTTCCCTTCTGACCCTCTGACCTTGAGGCTATGATTCTTACTGCCTCCCTGACAAAGAAGAGCCTTGGGCCAGATAGTCTACGTTGGTGGATAATTTCCACTGAAGATAGAGAAGCAGGGGCAGGGATGGGAGGAAGGTGGTCTGCAGCCCAGGCCTCTGAGGCCCTGCCTCCCCTCGTTAGCTATTGACATCAACTCCTCGGACATCAAGGCTCTGTATCGGCGATGCCAGGCACTGGAGCACCTGGGAAAGTTGGATCAGGCCTTCAAGGATGTGCAGCGCTGTGCTACCCTCGAGCCACGGAACCAAAACTTCCAGGAGACGCTGAGGAGGCTCAACACCAGCATCCAAGAGAAGGTGAGCTGGACCCCTTCCCACAAGCCTCAGTCTGCCTCCCCCCACCCCTACTGGGGACAAGTTAGGGAAGCAGGACACCAGGGGAGGTCTAACACTTCCTCCACACTCTTGGATGGAATGAACACATGACACAGGGTGGCACCATAGAATAGCCAGGCCGATGTGCCCATCTTTGAATGATCAGAGATGCTTGTTGAAGGGCACAAGCTAGCCAGAGCTAGAACATGGGTCTCTTAAATTTCAGATGGAGGCTTAAAAAAAATAACCTTGTATGTATGCAACATGACCTTCCTTTCTTTCTAGGAGAGCAGAGGCAGCATTGAGGAGAGGGTATTGCAAATGGAGTGGGGTGGAGAGAACTTGGATCAGAGGTATCCTGCATCCTAGCCCTGGCTTAGGTACCAGTTTTCTAAGGAATCCCTTAGGGTGTCAGTTCCCTTTCTGCAAGAGCAGGAGGGTAGATGATCACTAAGCTCCTTACTCCAAGACTCAGTAACTTCTCTGTGCCTGGGGCAGCCCCATGGTGGGACAACAGCACACTGTCCAGAGTGTAGACTCCAGGGCTGTGTAAACAAACGGAGGAGTGACCAAGAAGGGGTGCAAATGAGAGACCCCCTAGGAGGAAATGAACCCAGGATGGAAATAGGCAGGACCATAGACCAGAACAGAACAGAGTAGTGGGAAGTACAGAGGAGCTGGCAAATTGGGGGTGGGTGGGAGGGGCAGTGTGTGATGATCAGTTAGGTCATTTTATGGTAGATTCAGAGCACTGGGGTTGGGGTTGAGGGGATGAGGGATGAGATATCCAAACATAATGGTTTTAATCTGTGTAAAGAGATGCTTGAAAATTGCTTTAGGCTTCTGGTCCTAGACACCTAATTCTGTTTTAGCCAGTGTTTAAGTATGTAACAGCTAATTATTAACTAGACTGCAAAATTGGGGTGATAACCTATAGCCTTCCAAGACCTGTGATGACCAAATGGGATAGCGAACTTAAGTAGACTGTAAGCCTTGTGGGGCAAGGACTTGATTTTGTTCACCATTCTGTCCGCAGCATCTGCAAGAGTGACTGACGCATAATAGCTGTTCAGTAAATGTTTGTGGAATGAATGAGTGACAGTGTTGGGGCCCCGAGGAGATACCCTAATATTTGCTAAGCCGCCCGAAATGCGGACCCTGCCTGCCTCCTTCCCCACTCCCTCCTCTCTCCTCAGCTCCGTGTGCAGTTTTCCACGGACTCCAGGGTACAGAAGATGTTCGAGATCCTCCTGGATGAAAGCAGTGATGCTGACAAGTTGGAGAAGGTGAGTGCTGGGCAACGGGCTGGCCAGCAGAGGGTGGACTCGGGACACCCACCCCCATATTTGTACTTCCGCTGCAGGCCCTGCCCCTATCTCTGGACAGGGACAGTCCTCCTAACTCCTCAACCTCCCCCGTCCACTGCCTGCGGGAGGGGGAGGAGGGCAACCCCTTGGAGAAAATGAACACAAGGAGGCCAGAGGTTATGCACTTTGGAAAATACCCTATACCCTGGCTATAAGGCCCAGGACTAGAGTGAGACCAATGAGGAGAGAGTCATGCAGCAGGATTGGAGTCTTTACTTAAATTTTTGATAATTTGTTCATCACGGATTTTTTCTTTTTTTTGCATTGCATTGATTTTGATATTTTAAAATATTGCATTATATATTATTTATCTTGATTGCTGAGGTTTTCGGTGTCCCTGTAAATTTTGCACCCAAGGCAAGTGCCTCACTTGCCATACTGTCGTTTCTACCCTGAGGTTAAAAATGGCTTGTTAAGATATATTCCATTTCATTATAAAATATCACAAAACTTCATCCTGAAATATGAAAATATTTGGTCATAATACTACCCTCTTTTTTTTTTTAAGATTTTATTTATTTACTCATGAGAGACACACGGAGAGAGAGAGGCATAGACACAGGCAGAGGGAGAAGCAGGCTCCATGCACCAGGAGCCAGACATGGGACTCGATCCTGGGTCTCCAGGATCACGCTCTGGGCTGAAGATGGCGCTAAACCACTGAGCCACCGGGGCTGCCCATAATACCACACTCTTAACCAAATTTGTTGTCCTTTTTCTTTCTTTTTTTAAATGTTCCCTTCTGGTCTTTCTTCACAGGAGATGCCTGGGGAATTTTTGTTAGTTTTATGGTCAGTAAACCATACAATACGCAAATACCTTTTATAACAAACTGTTGTGAGGACATAAGGAGTTGTTATTGATAAATGCACCTGGACAAGTACAAAGCCCTTGACCAGTAGAGTGATGATGGTTCTGGTGGTACTTGCCTGGGATTTTCTCATCAGCCTCCTCCAGCATCATTCCTTCTCTATTTGTTGACTTTCTCCTTCTCTAGCCTCATGAGTTTTTTTCCCCCAACCCCAGCTTTTCAGGTTCTGCTGAGACCTCCTCTTCTGATCTGGAGCCATTTAGGGCATATGTATCCTTAAGGCTTTAGCGTGGGAAGACATTGGGGAACTTTTTTTTTTTTTTAGATTTTTACTTATTTATTCATGAGACACACAAAGAGTCAGAGACATAGGGAGAGGGAGAAGCAGGCTCCCTCTGGGAGAAGCAGGCTCCCCCTGGGATGTGGGACTCCATCCCAGGACCTGGGGACTACGCCCTGCGCCAAAGGCAGATGCTCAACCACTGAGCCACCCAGGCGTCCCAACATTGGAGAACTTTCTAGCTTAACTGCCTAATTTTGGAATCTGGGATGCAGAGAGCTGCCATGACTTGCCTGAGGTCATACAGCTAGCGTGTAGCAGAATCAGTACTCATACCCAGGACCTTCAAGACCCATCTCTTGCTCTCTCTGCCTACCATTTTCCACCTTCCTGAGAACCCCTGTAACTTCAGATTGCCCTGAACAGATAAACAAACAAACCCCAAATGCCAAAACCATATTCAAGAGAAATTTTTAAAGAAAAATAATTCTCCATGAAGGAGCACTTGGGTGGCTCAGTTGGTTAAGCATCTGTCTTCAGCTCAGGTCATGATCTCAGGGTCCTGGCATGGAATCCAGTGTTGGGCTCCCTGCTGAGCAGAGAGTCTGCTACTCCCTCTGCCTGCTGTTCCCTCCTGCTCCTGCAGCCTCTCTCATAAATAAATAAATAAATAAATAAATAAATAAATACTTAAAAAAATTCTCCAAATAAAAACACTTCTACTCTGTTAAAAGATAAACTGAGGCATATTAATAATTTTAAGAGTTTATTTGGGCAAAATGGATTTGGGTAGCACCAAAACAGGAAGTGGTTAGGAGCTCTCTACCCACAGGAACTGGAGGAAAGACTTTTAGAAAAGAGGTGGACACAAAGCCACAAAATTATTTGATTGGCTATAGCTTAAGCAGTTACATTATTTGGGAAAGCCTAGTTGGCTGTGATTGGTTGTTCTTAAGTTTTAATTTTTTTTAAAGATTTTATTTATTTATTCATGAGAGAGAGAGAGAGAGACTTCGGCAGAGGGAGAAACAGGGTCCATGCAGGAAGCCCAACATGGGACTCGATCATGCCCTGAGCCAAAGGCAGACGCCCAACCGCTGAGCCACCCACCCAGGCGTCCCTAAGTTTTGATTTCTTAACTGGGAGGCATTGCAGACTTTGGTTTGGGTTTGCTTACATTAGCTGCTACGGCATTAAAGCCACTCAGTCTAATGCCCTCCTTGTTTAGTTCACTTAACACTTTGATACCTTTTGGTAGTCCTTATCTGTAAGCAAATATACACAGTTTTGTTTTCATGTAAGTGCAATCAGAGTGAACCTCCTATTTGGATTCTGCTTACCAGTGTTTTTTCCCAAGTTGCTGGGTAATCTTTTTTATTTATGAGTTCAGTGGCTGATACATTTCATTGAACTGGCCTCTGTATAAGTTACTTTGTTTCTTCTTTTGAATCATGTTCTTGGGCCACATCTCCAGGAGTAGGACTATAGGAAAAGAATCCAGTATAAAGATGTTTTGAAAATCCAGTCCTTACGCCAGCCCCTGCCCTGGCCCCCGGCCAAGACCTTGGCAGCCATGCCTCCTCCATGACCCTTGTTGTATCCTCCCTCTCCAGGCCGCCAACAACCTCATCGTCCTAGGGCGAGAAGAAGCAGGGGCTGAGAGGATCTTCCAAAACAATGGAGTGGCCCTGCTGCTGCAGCTTGTGGACACCAAGAGGCCTGAACTGGTGCTAGCTGCTGTGCGGACCCTGTCGGGCATGTGTAGTGGCCACCGAGCTCGGGTGAGGGCCTGGGTGTCAGGCTGAGGGTGACACGTGGGCAGGGAGCAGGTGGCATAAGTAGACCCTGATACAAAGTCTAAACTGTCCTTTGCTGATTGCAAAGGCTGTGATAGTTTGCATTTTATCATATAAATCTTCCAAACTCAGTGTGTATTTTACACCTTAAGCACACCACAATGTGGGACTCACCACACTGCAAGTCCTCAGTGGCCCCATATGGCAAATGGTTCCTGTATTGGACAGCCCAGCTTTAAACTGGAAAGAGTTTAAAGAGGCATGGCTAGTGTCAAGGGCCTTCCCAGACCAGAGGCCCCAGGAGGCACTGGCTGCCTGGGTGTATTTCCCTGCTGGAGAGGGAGGATGGGGCTGGTTGTCACCCACTTCCTAACCTGCACGACAGCTGGAAGAGAGGCGCAGGCAGCTGACTGTGGGTCTTGCTGTGGGTTTAGGCCACAGTGATTCTCCATGCGGTCCGGATAGACAGAATATGTAGCCTCATGGCAGTGGAGAATGAGGAGATGTCTCTGGCCGTCTGCAACCTGCTCCAGGCCGTCATTGATTCTCTGGCAGGGGAGGACAAACAAGAACATCGAGGGAAGGAAGAAGCCCTGGTTCTAGGTAGGAGACATTCTTCAGTGTTTTTCAAAGGGGTGAGGGCCGAGGAGAGTCAGGTGCCACCTCAGAAGGCTCATTCCCTATATGTGGAGGTGGCCTGGTTTATTTTATATTTATTTTCTAATTATAAAAGTAATAGAGCAGCAGCATCTTCAATAGCTTAAAAGTGGGAAGCAACTCTAGTGTCCATGCGTGGGTGAATGGATAAATACAATATGGCATATACACACAATGGAATATTATTCAGCCTTAAAAAGGAAGGACATCCTGACATCTGCTACTACATGGATGAACCTTGAGTGCAATAAGCCAGTGACAAAGGCATAAGTACTGTTTGGCTCCACTCCTACAAGGTATCTAGAATAATCTAAATCATAGAGACAAAAAATAGGATGGTGGTCTCCAGGCTAGAAGAGGAGGAAATGAGTTGTTTAGTTTTAGTTTTTATAGGACAAAAACGTTCTGGAGATGGATGGTGATAATGGCAGCACAACAATATGAATGTACTTAATGCCACTGAACTGTATACTTAAAAATGGTCAAAATGAAGGGCACCTGGGTGGCTCAGATGGTTAAGTGTCTTCCTTCAGCTCAGGTCATGATCCTGGGGTCCTGGGATTGAGCCCCAAGTCGGGCTCCTGACCCAGTGAGGAATCTGCTTCTCCCTCTCCCTTTGCCCCTACCTCCTGCTCATGCTCTTTTTTGCAAATAAATAAATAAAATCATTCAAAAATGGTTAAAATGATCAATTTTATTCATGTATATTTTACTACAAGTAGAAGAAAGTAAGAGACTTACTGGAAAAATTTGGAAAAATTTAGAAATATGTAAAGATGAAAAAAACCCACCTATAATTCCTCTCCAGATAATCCAGATTATCACTGCCACATGTGTCTTTCCAGTCTCTTTTTAAAAAAGATTTATTTATTTATTCATGAGAAACACACACACACAGAGAGAGAGAGAGAGAGAGAGAGAGGCAGAGACATAGGCAGAGGGAGAAGCAGGCTCCCTGCAGGGAGTACCATGTGGGACTGGATCCTAGATCCCAGGATCACGCCCTGAGTTGAAGGTAGATGCTCAACTGAGGCACCTAGGCGTCCCTCCAGTCTTTTTTCTATCCATCCACATAAATACCGATTTAACAAAATTGGAATTTGGCTAGGAATAGATTTGTGTTTTCTTTTCCTTCACTAAGCATTATATGAGTATTTCATACCATTAAATGTTCTTTAAAAAGATTCTTTTTTATTTTAAAAATCATTCATTTTTCATTTGTTTCATTTTAAATACATGCACTTATAGACTCAGGCTTTTTCCAGCACATCCAGGTCCTGGGCATGGTTTTAGAAGTTCCTGCTCTGCCTGGGAAGGTTCACTAATAGAAAGCTTGATTTTAAATATTTTCATTATATTCCATTGTATGAATATATCATAATTCACCAATCAACTCTATATCAGTGGAGATTTAGATTGCTCCTAGTTGCATGCTTATAAAACGCAGTTCAGTAGCTATTCTTTACACAAAGTATGCTTGCATTTGCAATTATTTTCTTGGAATAAAATTCCTAGTAATGGGAATATGGGTCAAAGGCTGTGAACACAACTGAAGTTTTCTCTCCATGTTACTTTTGGATTCCTTTCTGAGAGGGTGCATGAATTTGTACTCTTACCAAGTGATGCTGATGGGGGTCCCATCTCCACTCATTCTCCTACCAGATTTGAATACTCTCATTTAAAAAAAATTTCCTATTCATTAGGTAAAAATAACTTCATTTGAATTTTTAAAAATCACTAGTGAGATTGATCATTTTTCTTTATTTTTATTAGCCATTTGGATTCGTTTGTCTTCCAACAACCTGTCATATATCATTACCCTTATTTTTTCTTGGAGTATCAGTGTTTTTCTTATTGATTCATAAGAGCTCTATTAATAACATGAACCTTTGGGAGTCCTGGATTCTTGATGTGGTTCTGACTTAACTGTCGTAATGGTCAGCAAGTCACATTCTTTTTTCTGTGCTAGAACCACTGGAGGGTCCCAAATGGTACACTTGTACAACTGGTGGTTAACTGGAGATGCTGGCCAGGACATCTTGGTTTTTCTTTTTGTGGCATCTCTAGTGGGCATCTTGGGTGTCTGTATAGCATGGTGGCCTCATTCTCAATGGACGAGCCCCAATGTGCAAGTGCTTTTAAGCTGCTGGGTGTGCTCTAAGTCACATGATTGACCCAGGGCCAGAGTGGAAGAGCATCCCCAAGAATGGGAACACTGAAAGGTATGGTGCACTGAGGGCCACAGCTTCCTTGGGAAGTTGAAAGTTGTTGGACATCTCTGCTAAGGAATTCTACTAGATACTGATTTAGGATCCATCTCCTTGTAGCTTCCACCCCACTCTGACCCCAGTTCTGCTCTCTAGAGCCTCATAGAAGAAGTCTATTCTTTTGCCTTCATGACACACCCTTATCTGAAAAACTATCACATCTACCGATGACTTTCCTTGTCCAGTTAGATAGCCTCTTTCCTTCATCAGTCATTCATATGACATGTTTTGGAGATCCTTTCCTTTCTACTCCCTTCCTCCCTCCCCGCCTGCCTTTGAGCTCTAAGCTAGAATGAGAACAAAAATCCCTAAGATGCAGTGAAATCAGACAGGGAAAAAGCAAGAAAAAGCATTTGCCTTTTAATCCCCCAGCGGGCAGGGAAGATCTGGCATCCCATCTGAGGCTTGAATTTGGGCTCCCAGCATGCCTGAATCTGCAGGGAGTAAGATATCTGTAAGGAATATAAATTTCTTTTCTGGAAAACATTTTGTTAAATCAGTTTATTAAAAGCTACATGAAGTGTCCCTGGCTCCCTGCCAATTATGCCTTGGAATAAAGAACTTTCTAAGAACCAGAGCTGTTCAAGGATGGCAGGAGCTGTTGTAGAAGTCAGTGTGCAGCGTAGAGTGGCTAGAGGCCCATTGGGGGTATTGTCTAGGAACCTCCCTTTTTGGGGCTGAGATGGGCAATACTATATCTTCTGGGGAAATTCCAACTTCCAGGAAGCCATGGATTCCATATTTTCAGAACCCTTCTAAAAACCTCTGCCATTCCTGGTCCTATAGATCTGAGTAAGACCCTACTCTCTACTTACCCTTGTCCTCTCCTTCCTCAGACACCAAGAAGGACCTGAAGCAGATCACCAGCCACCTGCTCGACATGCTGGTCAGTAAGAAAGTGTCTGGCCAGGGCAGGGATCAAGCCCTGAATCTGCTCAATAAGAATGTCCCCAGGAAGGACCTTGCCATTCACGACAACTCGCGTACCATCTATGTGGTGGATAACGGTGAGGAGGTGGGAGGGTCTGGGGCTCATTCCAACCTTTCAGGGGGGCACCAGGGTATCTGGCACTGAGCAGAAAGCAGAGGAAGTGTGGCCTTTGCCTAGAACAAGTCTTCGGTCCCACTGAAAAGCTAGGAAAAGGCATTAACACTTAGAAACCACCAACGGGCTGGTGAGGATTTAGATCAAAGCTCAGCTCTGAATTAAGGGCCTGAACACACACAGAAAATGCCCAAACATGCTGGAAAACACCTGGACAGAGTTACTTAACCAATGCAAGCAATGCCAAAGACAAACAGGACTCCACCAACCTTGGGGGAATGTTCCTGAAGTCCCATGGTTGGCAAAATACTTCACAGGCTTTCTAGAAGGGAGAAATGGCATCAAGTGTCCTATATATAAGGCACAGTAACAAGGTTCTAGCAGACAGTCCCTAAATTTGTTGGCTCCAAGATATTACCCACTCTCCCAAATCCACTTTAATTGTTCAGGAGTCATACCTATGGCTTTATCATCTACTATGATAAACTCCCACAGGTTTAAAAACATATAGAACCATCCTTTATTCTAAAAGGTTCAGATTAACTTCCACCCATTTGAAATTTATCCTCTTTTGATATTGCATTTCCTCATTTGGTTTTCACAGATCTCAGCAAAGTGTACTTTAACAGATTACTCTAGCACTTATAAACCTCCTCCCTCAGCACTTCCTTCCCTCCTCCTCCCCAGTTCTGGTCTTCTCTGCATATATTTCAAAGGGTGAATCACAGACCTCTTTCTCTCTGCACTCGGACCTAGGTCCAACCACACAGTTAATAGGTAGGGTAGGTGGGAAGCAATATTTATTACTCAATCAGAATAACATACAACTCAGGGGTGCCTGGTGGCTCAGTCGGTTGAGTGTCTGCCTTCTGCTTGTGTCATGATTCTCAGGGTTCTAGGATGGAGCCCTGTGTCACCCTGCTCAGCAGGGAGCCTGCTTCTCCCTCTCCTGCTTCCCCTGCTTGTACTCTCTCTCTCAAATGAATGAATGAATGAATGAATGAATGAATAAATAAATAAATAAATCTTTTTAAAAAGAGAGAATGTACAACTCTTTTACTTTTTTGGAGCAAACTACCACACCTGTGGTGTCACCACTCTGTCCTTATCGCAACTTCTGTCCTTATTACAGCTTATTTAATCTTCATATGACTGTTCCTTATTCCATTGTGAGTTTTTTGAGGAGAGGATTGTATCTTTTATTTCAGTATTTGCTACCTTAAAGGTGCTAATTTATTTCTTCACTTATTCCTTCATTTATTCAACAGATATGTAAAGACTGAATTAGCCTAATGGGTAATAGGAAGTCATTGAAGTTTATTCAACAGAAGAGAGAAGAGATAATAATAATAAATAGTAAATGTAGCATTTACTAAATAAATAGTAAGTGTTTGTTGAGTGATAATGACATGTCTGGATTGGCCCTAGGCAGTTTCCATACATTATCTCATTGAGTCCTCAAATGCTCTGTGGTAGGTAGTATGGTTCCCATTTTATAGAAGTGAGGCCTGGGGAAGAGAGAATATCAAATAGTATTTGGGGAAGGTTATACATCAACCCATAGAGGGTACATGTGAAAATAGAGGCCCACCCACAATGGGAGGTGAATTGCTCACCTAGGGGCAGAGTCAGGTGCAGAATGCGGGTCTCCCGGCCCCATACCAGTACCCTTCATTCTGGAAAAGCCATGTACTGCCAAAAGATATGCTGGAGAGGAGCTGGTGTTAAGACAACTGAAGAAGAGGGTGTGTTTGTGAGGACAGACCCCAGCAGAGATCTGACAATTGCCATCATCTGTCCTGCAGGCCTGAGGAAGATCTTGAAGGTGGTGGGGCAGGTTCCAGATCTGCCATCCTGCCTGCCTCTGACTGACAACACCCGAATGCTGGCTTCCGTCCTCATCAACAAGCTCTACGATGACCTGCGCTGTGACCCAGAGCGCGATCACTTCCGCAAGATCTGTGAGGAATACATCACGTGAGTCTCCTGGAGGTCTCAGGGAATCATGCTCTGTATTAGTTACCTATGGCTGTATAACAAATCACCCCAAAATGTAGCAAGAAGCTTGAAGTAATAGTAATCATTTATTATTTCACAATATGACCGCAGTTTGGGAGTGACTAGGCTGGGTGGATCTGGCTCTGGGGCTCTCATGAACTGACTGTCACACGTCAGCCTGGGCTGCAGTCATCTGAAGGCCTGCATGCTGGTGCTGGTTATTGACAGGAGGCCTCCATTCCTCCCGGTACGAGCCTGTCCACAGGTAGCTTGAGTATCATTACTGCCTGGTACCCAGAGTGAGCAATTCAGAGAGAACAAGGCAGAAATGGCAATGTCTTCCATTACCTAGCTTCAGAAGTCACACACGATCATTTCCGCCACATTCTCTTTGTGAGAAGCAAGTTGTGAAGAGTGGTCTGCATTTAAGAGGAGAGAGTTAGGTTCTATCTTTTGCACGGAGGGGTGTCAAAATACTTTTGGACTTATTTAAAACCTACCACAAGCTCCTGAGGTTGAAGGAACAAATGTCAGCTTATCAAGGAGGCAGAGAGTGGGCCCTTCTGTGTTGGGGTGGCTGCTGGACTGTCCCACTAGACATCTCAGCTGCTGGGAAGCCCACTGATGGACAGCACTCGCCTCTCTTTGGGACTTCCCTCAGCTGGAGACAGCTGCTTCCTCCTCCCCAGGGCGGCCAGCATCCAATGACCCGTGTGCCCCCCACTCCCACCCCCAGCTGGAAACAACTCTGGAGGGTGTCCCAGCTGTAGCACTCATCATAGGCTGAGGCTTTATGATGACTGAGTTGCAGCCCAGTGCATCCTTCTGCCTCCTGCCGAGGCTTGCTTCCTTCCCTTCTAAAATATGAGCTGATCCCAAGAGCTCTCCCTAATCAAAGTCCTTTGTGTCAGTCCCCATCCATCTGACTATGCTTCTTGGGGGGACACAACCCATGGCATGTCTGTTACATCACTCACCCTCACCATAACTCTGATTAGTAGTACTCTACCGTCAGTTAGATCAAGAAGCTGAGGCTCAGAGAGGGTCAGGGAATCGCCCAAGGTCACACAGCACATGAGTGGTAGATCCAGGACGTAAATTTGAATCTGTCTGCCTCCAAATCCCACATTCTTCCCACCCACCTTAGCCAGTTCTCCTGACCACCTTGTCCTTGATTTTAGGGGTAAGTTTGACCCCCAGGACATGGACAAGAACGTGATTGCCATTCAGACAGTGTCAGGGATCCTGCAAGGCCCCTTTGATCTGGGCAATCAGCTGTTGGGAATGAAAGGTGTGATGGAGATGATGGTAGCGCTGTGCGGCTCCGAGCGGGAGGTAGACCAGCTGGTGGCCGTGGAGGCCCTCATCCACGCATCCACCAAGCTCAGCCGCGCCACCTTCATCATCACCAATGGCGTGTCACTGCTCAAAGAGATCTACAAGACCACCAAAAACGAGAAGATTAAGATCCGCACACTGGTGGTGAGTGTTGGTACCAGAACGTGGTGGGTGCCGGGCCCCAGGGACACCGGATGAGTGAGGCCTGGCTCCTCTCCATGGGAAGCCCATGCTGTGGGGGAGCTTCTGCCCAGCCAGCATTTTCAGAGCAAACTCGAAAAAATCAGTTTGTTTCCCTAATCAGTTTCTCGATGGGACTGATAACCCATTTCAATTTTTCCAGTTTCATTTTATGGCAACTCTTTTCATGGGTCTTTTAGTTTGCTTGTAAACAATTACAGTGACAATTTGAGTCGTTGATGTGTTTTTCTGTTTATATCAATTTTTAAGAAACTAATTATAGCTTCTTCCATCATGAGTTTTCTCTTATGGAAGGCATGTTTTCCTTTTTTTTTTTTTTTTACATTTTCCTAAGAGTACAATTTCTCCCGGGTAGAATTCTGCATATCTGAATTTGTTACCCACGTGGTCTGATTTCTGTGCTGGTTTTTGTGCTAGCATAACTTGCACCATTGCAGTTTCAGGTAAGATTAGTATCGTTTTGTGCTGATTTTCCAAAACAGCAGTGGAGCCAAAATGGTGGCAGCGGAATGGGGCAGGGTAAAGAAGTCCAGCTTCATGAGCATCTGCCCCACCCTGGAAGCCTCAGGGGAGGCATCTTGGAAGAGGTGACACCTGAGCTGAGTTTGGTAGTAGGCAGAGAGGTGTATCCAGGCAAAGACAAAGGGGCAAAGTGTTCCAGCCACAGGGACCTGTTTGAGCAAGGCCCTTTGTATCCAAGTGTGTCTGACTCTAGAAGCATCTCCCTTCCCCCACAGGGACTCTGTAAGCTGGGCTCCGCAGGGGGCACGGACTATGGCCTCAGGCAGTTTGCTGAAGGGTCCACGGAGAAGCTGGCCAAACAGTGTCGCAAGTAAGGGGGTTCGACTTCCCCAGGCCCACCATCTTCTCTCTGGGATGTGCTCTAGTGGATGCCGCATGGTGAAAGGTCCCCCACAGGCTCCCCACTGCCCTGAAATCCTGAGCTCTGGCCCCCTTCCCCAGCACTCTTCCTCTCCTATTTCCAGGTGGCTGTGCAATGCGTCCATAGATACCCGGACCCGGCGATGGGCAGTGGAGGGCCTGGCCTACCTCACCCTGGATGCCGACGTGAAAGACGACTTTGTCCAGGACATCCCCGCCCTGCAGGCCATGTTTGAGCTGGCTAAGGCAAGTGTGGCCCTGACCTCTGGCCTTCAGGAAAGGTCTACTAGATTCAAGCTCATAGGGTCCTCTGCTGAGCCTGAGAAATGGCACTCCTGTGTCTTCATCCAGGCTCTGGCCCTACTGCCGATGTAAACCAGATTGGTTACTTCCCCTGTCTGCCCCTCATTTTACCTGACCATAAAATGGGTGCTCAAGCTAATTCCCTGGTTCTTTTCCACCACCAAAGGGAGGAGGGGAAAGAGGGAGTTTCCACCCAGGGCCAGACCAGAGGTGTTTCCAGTCCCTACCCATCCCCTGCCCCCTATCCCATGGCAAAGTATGTTGGGTTTGGGCGTTTCAAAGAGGCACAGAGCAAGCAGCGCACTCTGAGGGCTCCCCCGCCATGCTCTCCTGGGGTACTGTGGCTAGTGCAGGAGAAATGTCTGCCCACCCTGCGTGAGCAGAGCTAGTTCCTCTTCCCTCTGTGCCACCTGCTATTGTCCAAGCGGGGCTCAAATCAACTCACCCGACAGGTCAGAGGGCCGGCTTTTTTTTTTTTAAGATTTTATTTATTTATTCATGACACACACACACACACACACAGCAGAGGCAGAGACACAGGCAGAGGGAGAAGCAAGCTCCATGCAGGGAGCCCGATGCGGGACTCGATCCCGGGACCCCAGGATCAGGCCCTGCCCTGGGCCCAAGGCGGCGCTAAACCTCCAGCAACCCGGGCTGCCCCAGGGGGCCGTCTTGGAAGCACAGATTTGTTCTAAAGTTTCCCCTCCCGTGCCCCCGCCCCATAACTGCAGACGGCTGACAAGACCATCCTGTACTCCGTGGCCACCACCCTGGTGAACTGTACCAACAGCTATGATGTCAAGGAGGTCATCCCGGAGCTGGTGCAGCTCGCCAAGTTCTCCAAGCAGCACGTGCCCGAGGAGCACCCTAAGGTAGGGTAGGGATGAAGCTGGGGTGGGGGGAGTCTGCGCCACCAGGCGTCCAGAGAGGCAGAACGGAAGGACCGCGACGTCGGGGTGCTGTGGGTGGGTGTGGGAGCATTTGGCAGAGGACGCGGATAGACTGAAGATGATCGTGGTCAATGTCTCCCACTAGGTGGCGCTCGTCCCCCCCTTAGTTTTAAGGGTTTATGCGCCTTGGGGGGGTGAGGATCCAACCATCATGTGTAGTCTGAAAAATCAAATGGGGCCATGATGAACGTTTTGCAATTTATGTTGTTTCATGGACATCAGACAGACAGTATATTTCATGTTTCCAACACTTTCCAGAAATTTCGTTTCCTGGGATATCTGGATTTCGGGATCTGGGTGCTAAGTAGGAATAACAAGGGAGAGAATGGGGCCAGGCAGCAGTAGCCCAGAAGTCACAAATCTCCCTGAGGCCCTCCTCAGTGATTCCCTGCACTCAAGGGTATGCTTTGTCTGTGGTTTGAATTAGAATGCATATACATTGTATTTCCAGCCAGTGGAAGATTGAGATTTTTTTAAATGGTCAAAGAAGTATAACCACATTGGGAGATCTCTGGGTGGCTCAGGGGTTTAGCGCCTGCCTTTGGCCCAGGGCTGATCCTGGGGTCCCGGATTGGTCAGGTTGGGCTCCCTGCATGGAGCCTTCTTCTCCCTCTGCCTGTGTCTCTGCCTCTCTCTCTCTCTCTCTCTCTGTGTGTGTCTCTCATGAATAAATAAATAAATAATCTTTAAAAAAGAAAAAGAAATATAACCACATTGCAAAACAAACAAAAATGTAGACCCCAGAGAAAAGGAAATGACCTCCCACCAATGACGTCATCTCCCTCTGACCACTGTCAGTGTCTTGGTACGCACCCTATGTTACTTAGCAGAGACTGTTTTTCTCCGTGCATCTTTTTTCTTTTCATAGTTAAAATGTTTTATGCCCGATTTTGGGGAAATGCTTTAGGTGTTTTCCAGATGGCTATGCCATTCTTTTTTAAAATGTATTTTTATTTTTTAAAGATTTTATTTATTTATTCATGACAGACACACACACAGAGAGAGAGAGAGAGAGAGAGAGAGAGAGGCAGAGACACAGGCAGAGGGAGAAGCAGGCTGCTATCCCAGGACTCCAGGATCATGCACTGAGCCAAAGGAAGACAGACACTTAACTGCTGAGCCACTCAGGGGCCCAATTTTTTTTTTTAAGTTTTCGTTTAAATTCCAACTAGCCAGTATACAGTGTAATATTAGTGTCAGGAATAGAATTTAATGATTCAGCATTTCCATACAACACCCAGTGCTCATCACAAGTGCCCTCCTTAATCCCCATCACCTGCTATGTCATTCTCTGAATCCGTTTTTAAAGCTGCATACTGTTTTATGCAGGCAAGGCTGTATAGCATACTCTGCTGCTGTAAAGTTCAAATGTGGCTTCTAGAAATCAACCACAAATGCCAGCCCCTTCCCACCCACTTCGAGAATTATCTGTAGGGACTGTTCAACCTTGGGCCTAACTTTGGGTTTCCCTCACAACCCAATCCATTGTTATGTCAACTTTATCTGCTCTCTATCCTCTCCCCCTCCTGCCTAAGCACCCCCACCCCCACCCCCACAATGGAAAGTGAACCTTTTGCAAAGTTCTTTTTGGCACGTAAGGTAACATTCACAGGTTCTGGGGATTAGGACATGGACTTCTTTGGGGGCCATTGTTCAGCCTGCCACAAGCAGTTAGAAATGCACCACCTTTAGTTCCAATACAGATTGGCCTGGTGCCAGGTCCTTCCCCACAGCCACCCTTTTGTCTCCCCAGGACAAGAAGGACTTTATAGACATGCGTGTGAAACGGCTTCTGAAGGCTGGTGTCACCTCTGCACTGGCCTGCATGGTGAAAGCGGACAATGCCATCCTCACTGACCAGACCAAAGAGCTGCTGGCCAGGTGGGGCTGAGGGGATAGAGGTGGCAGGGGAGTAAATGAGTGAATGAGCCATTGTGGGGGTCTGGAGAGGAGATGAAAGAAGATGGATATTGGAAACTGACATGGCAGGGCACCTGGGGCTCAGTCACTTGAGCGTCTGCTTTTGCCTCAGGTCATGGTCTTGGGGGCTGCAATTGAGTTCCATGTCCCATCAGGCAGACTCCTTGCGCAGTGGGGGATCTACTTCTCCCTCTGTCCCTCCCCCTGCTTGTGCTCCCTCTTCCTCTTTCCCTCCTTCCCTCTCTCTCTCAAATAAACAAAATCCTTAAAAAAAAAAGGAAAGAAAGAAAGAAAAGAAAGAAAGAAAAGAAAAGAAAAGAAAAGAAAAGAAAAGTGACATGGCAGGGCAGCTCATCCCTGGTGGATGAAAGGAAGAGTCACTGTCCATCCTGGTTACCTGGTTCCCAGGCCCTGTGTGGGACCTGCTATTCCAAAGATGAAAGGCACAGTTTCTGTGTAGTGTGATGGAGAGGCAGACAGGCTCACAGTTAAAATATGATGCAGTAGGGGAAATGCAGAGGGTTGGTTGGGGTCTGAGTAGTGACACCCACCAGCCAGACTAGAGGTAGGTGGAAGGGCAGCCAGGAAGGCCTCCTGGAGGAAGTGACAAATCAGTGGAGCCATGAGGGGAGAAGAGGAACCACCCAAATACAAGAGAGGAAGGGTTCTGGGCAGAAGGGACAGGATCTACAGATACTGAGGACAGAGGGAGAAGGTGTGAATGAAATGGGGTTCTCCTGCAGTGTTCTGGAATGTGGAGTGCACAGGAGGAAGTGATGCCAGTAAGACCAGAGAGGGGAAGAGGACCAGATCACAGAGGTCCTGGAGTGCATCCATGTTGAAGATTTTCTCCTGGTTGATGGGCAGCAAGGAGCCATTTGTTGCCTCCCCACATAGGGATGGGGTGGCTCTTTGCAGCCCCTCTTGGCTTCACTCTCTCCCCAGCTCCTTCTATCCATGGCAGTATCCAGCCAAGGTGGCTAATGCCGGGACAGGTACAGAACTTTCCAGGGCTTCACTGGGTCTGACTGGCTGGCCTGCTGATGCCTGGGGAGGGTGCACATTATGTGTCCTTTATCCTTGCCTTACAGGGTATTCCTGGCACTGTGTGATAACCCAAAAGATCGAGGAACTATTGTGGCTCAAGGTGGTGGCAAGGTAATTGGTGGGATAAGGTTTGCCATCCTAGAAGGTGATCCACTGGGGAGAAGCATGTGTGCACATGCACACGCTCTTTGCCTGGCCCAAGAATAATGCACCCCTTGCCCCAACCCAGCCTCCTGGAATACTGTCTTTCAGGTATCTCTCCTATCTGCTCATGCCTCAAACCAACTTCAGCCAGATTTTATGGTTTGTCATGGGATTTACTGTGGGATCCCTTTCTTTCTTTTTTTAAAGAATTTTATTTATTTATTCATAGAGACACACAGAGAGAGACAGAGGCAAGAGACAGGGGCAGAGGGAGAAGCAGGCTCCGTGCAGAGAGCCTGACGTGGGACTCGATCCAGGGTCTCCAGGATCACGCCCTGGGCTGCAGGCGGCGCTAAACCACTGTGCCACCTGGGCTGCCCCTGTGGGATCCCTTTCATCCTCCTTGCTATTGGAAGGAAGCATGGTACAGATGCACAGACCATAGACTTTGCTGTAGAACACGTGTCTTTGAGTCCTTGCTCATTCCTTTTTTAGATGCATAACTTTGGGCGAATTACTCAATCTGCCTGAGCCAGTTTCCTCATGTATGAAATGCGGGTGGGGAATCACACATTTACTCTGCAGAATGTCACAAGGATTATAGAAAATACACTTAAAGTATTGGCTCATAGTAGGCCCTCAATAAGTGGCTGCTGGGATGATTAGGTTTGCCCTAAGTCAGGGAGTAAAAAGTCAGTGTGTTGATCCATTTATTTTCCAAAAACCAGCAGGGTGGTTGAGTGGCGGAGAGTGTAGACGAAGACATCCAAGTATGCTGGGAAGCTGGAGGAGTAAATCCATGATTCTGTATTTAATCATTCTCTGTGATACTCAGGCTTGCTTATGTTGCAGAAGCAGACAACGGCTGGAAAGGAGGGAGGGGAAGAGAGGCCTCTGGATGTCTGTGACAGAGAAATGACTGTACCCTCTCTTACAGGCACTTATTCCCCTGGCTTTGGAGGGCACGGACGTGGGCAAGGTGAAGGCAGCCCATGCCCTGGCAAAGATCGCCGCTGTCTCTAATCCGGATATCGCCTTTCCAGGGGAGCGGGTGGGTGCCGGGGTGGGTGGGATGGGGCAATGCTCCTAGGGGTCTTTCCCCTTGTTGCCCTAACCCCTGCCTGGGAGGGGGCATGGTGTGGTCACAGAGAGGGCAGTGAATTGGTGGTGCCTGGACTCTAGGCCTGGCTCTGCCCCTGACTTAGCAGGGCTGTCCTCTTAGAAACTCAGTTACCTTGTCTGGAAAGTAAGGGAAATAATCCTACCACTCAGGGTCATTATGAAAGCTGAATGAGTGGGTGGGCAAGCATTTTGGAAATTCTAGAGCTGGGCACTGAAATTTTAGGGTCTGGGGGATCATAGTCTCTGCCTGACCCGCTCCCTGACCCCTCCACGCAGGTGTATGAGGTGGTGCGGCCCCTCGTGAGTCTCCTGGACACACAGAGGGATGGGCTCCAGAACTACGAGGCTCTCCTGGGCCTCACCAATCTGTCTGGGCGGAGTGACAAACTCCGGTGAGTGGGGTGGGGAGGGAGCAGGGGTGGAGAGAGGTGCCCCAGGAAAAGTTTGGTGGAAATTTCAGATACACCATCTGTGCTTCCTGCTGAGGACAGGATCAAAGATGACGGGTAGAAACTGCAGTGGAAGGAATTCGAGTTAGCACCTAGTGAATGTATGAAGGCAAAGGAGATGACAAAGACACTTCTTTCTGACTAAAGTATTAAAAAAGATACCTGGGGGAGAGGTAGGGATTCCTTCTTGGGAGCAAAGGGGTAGTAGAGAGAATTGGGTTGAGATTCTTTCAGTTGCAAAAAACTCAACTCCCGACTGGTTTAAGGATAAAGGGAATTTAATGACATCTAAATAAAAAGTCTGAGGTGACCAGATGCAGGTGTGGCTTGATGCAGGCGTTACAAAGCTTCCCCACTTTCCTACTTTCTTTTCTTCTCTACTCTCCCTACTACTCCCCACTTTCCTACTCCCATCCACTTCTCCTGCCTGTGTTGTCTTAGTTCTCAAACGGGGTCTTCCCCTCTGCCATGAACACAAGGGTCGCTCCAGACTTCATATCTTCTTGGCTTCATGTCCAGCAGGAGAGAGAGAAAGAATTTCTCTTCTGCAGCGACAATACAGAAGAATCTCCAGCCTGGTGACGTGTTCATCCCAGACCCTATGGCTATGGCCAGGATGTTATGGTGTCATTTAGTTTACACCCATTGATGCCCTTCCTGGATCTGGTGGTAGGATTGATGTCATCCAGACTATGCTGGCTGAGGATGTAGGAGGGAACCACCAGCAGGGTGGAATGGCCCTTGGGTGGCCCAAAATGCCAAATGCTCACTACAGAGGACTCAGTGGCCACCCTTCCCCAACTCTCATACTCTAGGCAGAAGATCTTTAAAGAGAAAGCCTTGCCAGACATTGAGAACTACATGTTTGAGAATCACGACCAGCTGCGACAGGCGGCCACTGAATGCATGTGCAACATGGTGGTGAACAAGGAGGTGAGGTGGGCTCGGGACGAGGGTGGGGAACAATCTCCACAAGGAGAGTCCAGCCACAGGGCAGGGCCTGGCATGAGATTGGGGGTTACAGTGGTATTAAGGTAGCATTTTGCCAGAGAACCCAGGAACCCCCAAATCTCTCCTGGATTACAGCCCCCTTCCTGTAGGGACCCTGAGAGGAATATATGTACCAAGGAGACCAAGGAAAACATACAAAGTAGTATTATTCCAAGCTGCGGCTTTGACCTCTCGCTTGAGCTGGGTGAGATGGAAGGTACCATTTCCCTAAGTTATTTGTGTCTGAATAATTTCATAGCAGAGAAGGATGTAAGACCAAGGCCTCTTCAAGGCCAGGAGAGGCTAGGCCACTTACATTTTTCGAAGTTCCACCTATATAAAAAATTGAGGAAAAGCAAACACAGATACAAACAATTTTAGAATATTTTAAATGTTCATATTTAATGAACAGTTGCTGTTCCGATGGAAACTGCAATGCACTAGAATTATGTTCTTCGCAGAGTAATTACAGGATTTATAAAAATAAAATGAGTTCAGAACATGCCAATGGCTTCGTGGTCCTGCAGTGGGGATAAGTGATAACCAGGTGGTGAATGAATGTCTTCTTCTTTTCATCCTGCCAGAGTACTGTTATGGCTGTAGGCACAACCTCATCTGAGGTATAGGGCCAAATCTGGATGTGATGCCAAGTGGTCCTCCTGGGCCCTCATGTATGAGACCGCTTTCTCTCAATTCTTTTTTTTTTTTAAGGCTTTATTTATTCATGAGAGACACAGAGAGAGGCAGACATAGGTAGAGGGAGAAGCAGGCTCCTCAAGGGGAGCCCGATGTGGGACTCCATCCCAAGACCTCGGGATCACAACCTGAGCCAAAGGCAGATGCTCAACTGCTGAGCCACCCAGGCATCCCTGTTTCTCTCAATTCTTAACTCAAGGTCTTGGATCTTTCCACTGGTATAGGATGAAAACTCAACCTATGAAAGCCTGTTGAAGTTAAATAGATCAATCAGTCAGCCAATCAATCTAAACAGGACCTCCCAGGGAGCTGGCCTGAGGCTGGCCCTGGTGGCAGCCACGTGGGAAAAGAGACTGTGTCCAAAGAAAGAGGAGGGAGAACGAGAAGGGGGAGCAGGCTTCTCCTGGGAACATCAGCTGCTACAACAACCAAAATCAAAATCATCAGTGGTCCCAACCCGAACAGAATTTCATTTCTCATTCATCTCACTTCTTGCCTATGTTTGGATCCAGGGGCTTGCTTCCAAGCAATGACTTGGGATCCAGGCTTCTTCGACCATCAAGAACTATCCCCCACTTCCCTAAAAAGAGAACTGTCTCCCTCTCTGCCACTCTGGGAGTGGGTTCCATGTGAACGGGGAGAGAGACCATGGGAAAGGCACCTACCTAGAGTACTCCGCCATGGTGCCTGGAGTGACACATATCACTTTCTCTCATGTTCCATGATGAGAACTAGTTTACAGCCACATCTACATGTGAGGGGTGGGGAATGTAATCCTTTTGGGGTAGCTGCCTCCTAGTACAACTGTGCCCTGTGTACTGACCATCTCTACCATGCTCTCACCGCTGAGGACCACTACTCCAGCATCAGGGGGATGCAGGTGGAGATTTATAACCTGGGCAGCTATGATCGACCTTTGATCCTTTTAGAGCTCCACTTCTAGGAAACCCAAGCTAACAAAATGCCCTCCCCCTTTTTTTTATTTATTTACGATAGTCAGAGAGAGAGAGAGAGAGAGAGGCAGAGACATAGGCAGAGGGAGAAGCAGGCTCCATGTACCGGGAGCCCGATGTGGGATTCGATCCCGGGTCTCCAGGATTGCGCCCCGGGCCAAAGGCAGGCACTAAACCGCTGTGCCACCCAGGGATCCCCAAAATGCCCCTTAAATTTGACCAACCAGATTTTACTGTGGAGCCGATGGTGGGGGGATCGGTGAGCTCCGAGACATGTCAGAACCCTGGGCTCTAGGAGGCCCTTCCCTTGGCTTAGGGTCCTTGGGAAGCTCATTCCTTCCCTGCTGAATGGTACAGCAGTTCTCACTCCGTCTCCTGCTCTTGCTCAGCCATTGTGCCTTCAGGGACTGCAAAGTCATTTTATGGCAGACTCTGGAGGCCCATCTGTTGTGGGAAGGACATTTCAGTCTACCCCCGAAGGGAAGTGAAACACAGACCTTGGGGCGACATCTACCATTCAGGAGTCCGTGCCTGCCCTTTCCCCTGGTGTGGACAGCTGAAAGCAAACAGGAGTGGTGGCACATGCTGTATGGAGAATCTCCTGCTCTCTTTAACTTTTTAGCTGGAGGAATTTATAGACCTTTCTCTAGCTAATCAGAGGAGACTTTCTGGGGTGGTGGGGGAGGCTTCGGTGGCAAGCTGCTCAAGGGAAAGCTTGGAAGAATCTTGGGTCAGAGAACATGGCTTCAGATGCCTCTTTCCCTCTCCAGGCTGGCAGGTGGGGGCATTTGTCTCTGAGCCCTATACTTGCCTCCCTCCCTTAGGTACAGGAGAGGTTCCTGGCTGATGGGAATGACCGGCTGAAGCTGGTGGTGCTGCTCTGTGGGGAGGATGATGACAAGGTGCAGAACGCAGCCGCAGGGGCGCTGGCCATGCTGACAGCAGCACATAAGAAACTGTGCCTCAAGATGACCCAAGTGGTGAGAGCGGGCCCCGGGGGCAGCAAGGGGACTGCCTTGTGTGATCCTCTGTGGGGAGGCCAGCTTCTGAGGTAACACCTCCCTGGCCCCTGGATATCTGTTTCTATCACCTTGGAAGGAGAGTCTATACTATCTGGCTCCTTACATCCATTATTGGGACTCTCCACGTGAGCTAACTCAGGTCCCTCCCATGTACTCTCACCCACTGACTTTGGTGATGCTTACAGTTCATTACTTCAGAATGATGACAAGGATGGCCACAATACTAACTACTGCCTGAGCTCCCCGAGAGGAACATGGACTCGGTTGGGGTACCATAAGGAGCTTGTGGTTTGGCAAAGAAATGGCAGATTCTCTTACATGAACGTGATGATCAGATCCTTTGCTGGATCTGTGGCTGTCTCAGCAAAGTGGTTTGCACACCATCACAAACATGGCAGTGCAAAGTGAAAATGTCTTTATTTCACCAAACACCAAACTGAACTTAGTTTATGGGCATCCTTTCCACTGAAGACAAAAAAATGTAAGCAGCTCAAGTCAAATGTACTCAAGTCTACTTTAAAGGCAGGCTCTTGTTTATTTTTTAAAAATATTTATTTATTTGAGAAAGAGAGAGAGAGAGAGAGCTTGAGCATGCAGCGGGGAGGGGCAGAGGGCGGGGAGAGAGAACCTCGAGCAGGCTCCCCGCTGAGCACAGAGCCCAGTGCAGGGCTTCATCTCTTGACCCTGAGATCACAACCTGAATAGAAATCAAGAGTCAGACACTTAACCCACTGAGCCACACAGGTGCCCCCTGGCAGGCTTTTTTGGATAGTCAATTCAAGGTGGTGTGGGTGTGTGTACGTCTGTGTTTGTGTTTGCATGTTCGCACATGCCTTCTCTAAGATCCACGGGTGCTAATACTGTCTGGCACCAGAGAAGGGTCTCTGTCTGATGTAACTCATCTTGGTTGGTCCTTGGGTTTTAGCATTTTCCCCTAAGGCAAGTCTCTCAAAACTGTAAGTCACCTGGACGGCTGGCAAAAACACTTTCCCTAGATCTTCTGAATCAGTAGATTGGAGGTGGGGTGCTTCTGGCCTTGTGACTATGCTTTGAAACCACTGCCCTAAAGTAGCCTCTGCTGAAGTAACTGGTCACATAACTTCGGTCAACAGGCTTCTACAGGCCCTCTGTGACTCAGCCACTTACCAGACTTAGATGCTGCTCTAAATGTTTACGTTTATTAAGTTCTTCCATCCTTTTGACAACCCCATGTGGTAGGTATAGTTATTTTTTTCAAAAACATATTTTTAATTTATTTATTCATGAGAGACACAGAAAGAGAGGCAGAGACATAGGCAGAGGGAGAAGCAGGCTCCCTGTGGGGAGCCTGATGCGGGACTCGATTCCAGGACCCTGGGATCACAATCTGAGCCAAAAGCAAACGCTCAGCCACTGAGCCACCCAGGAGTCACTGGCAGGTATAGTTATTTTATCCCTGTTTACCAGAGAGGAAAACTGAGTGCAGAGAAGTAACTAGCTCAAGACCACACTGCCAGGGAATTGGGCAGGGATTGGAATCCTTCGGGATTGCTGACCCTCTCCTAGTCACTTCTTCCTTCTTCCTGAGGGCCTCTGAAATCTTGGCTACATTTCTGTGCCTGGAAGCAATGGCACTGGACCTGTTATCATTTACCTGTCAGCATAAAACCTTCCCCTGAACCCTACCACGCTAGCTGAATTTTGATTTTCCTTTTCTTGGGGTGGGAGACTTGGTGCAGTGTTTAAAAAATTTGCTTAGAATCCAAAAAACCAGTAATTGGTCTTTTTCTTCCCTTCTGTGTCTGTCTCCCCATCTGAGAGTGGTGCATGTAGAAAGCTGTCCCCGTTGACAAATGGAGGGTGAGGTAACAGGTACGAGGAAGCAAAGGGGGAAATCCTTGGATTAGTACCTAAAATCATCATCTCTGTCCATTTCTCCTTGGTGAGTTCTCACCATGCTCCAGCCCTCGTGCTAAGCTCTGTCCACGCACCATATCACTAAATCGTCACAATGTAAAGAAGTAGGTAGACCTGAGGACAGAGGAGCTCCCGAGACCTGGAAAGGTTAAAAAACTTATCTAAGGCCATATTTGGTAAGTGGCTAAGCTGGGACCTGAACACTGGTCTCTCTGACTCCAAAACCCGTACCAGTAACTGTTCTACTCTGCTGTCCATGTGTGTCTGCTGAATCTCTGAAAGTCAAGCTCCCTGGTTCTAGTCTTAGCTCCAGTTCTGTCTTTTGGGATGATCAGATGGTCTGGAGTCCTGTCTTCCCTATGTATCATAGTTGAGCAGCTTCACAACTGGCAGTGGAGAAGAGGGAATGGAGGAGGGATGGAGGAGAGGCTGCACTCCTAACTCCAGTGTTTTTTTTTTTTTTAATTTCTTTTTATTGGAGTTCAGTTTGCCAACATATAGCATAACACCCAGTGCTCATCCCATCAAGTGCCCCCTTCAGTGCCCGTCACTCTCCTGACTCCAGTTTTAATTCCAGTTGAAGTCAAAGCTGGTGGAGTGCAAGCCCAGGGCATGCCTGGAGCTCATGTCTCTAAGGGCCCTTGGGTTGGCAGAAGCAGGCATTGCCCATGTGCTCAGGGTTAGAATCCTCCTTTCTGAACACTTTCCATCCCCTTCCAATAAGGCATGCAGTGGGCCTGTCCCTTTGCTTCTCCAGATGCTTAAAAAATAAATGGATGTGTGGGTGTTTATTCTCTACTATTTTTAGATGTGTGATCATAGCTGAATTACCTCCCCTCCCTTCCTTCTCCTCCACTTGTAAAGTGAAAAGGATTGGATTATGTCAGGTTCCTTCTAGTTTTCTGATTCCCACCCTGGCTCTGCTAAGGAGGTGGGCATCTGCCACCTGGTCCCAATGGGCTCAGATAGGCATATGCTGAGTCCCATACACATTACCAGATACGTGCTTGCCTTCTGTTTCTTTCTGTCCTTCCACTGATTTCTCTAATCCTTCTTTATGTACCTCTCCCTTCCAGACAACTCAGTGGTTGGAGATCCTCCAGCGGCTTTGCCTGCACGACCGACTATCAGTCCAACACCGGGGCCTGGTCATTGCCTACAACCTGCTGGCAGCCGATGCTGAGCTGGCCAAGAAGCTGGTGGAGAGTGAGCTGCTAGAGATCCTGACTGTAGTGGGCAAACAAGAGCCAGATGAGAAGAAGGCTGAAGTGGTTCAGACAGCCCGGGAATGTCTCATCAAGTGCATGGATTATGGTTTCATTAAACCAGTGTCTTAGACAGGGGCCCACAGGGATGCTGGGGCTGGTCCTGTACTATGAAAAGTCCTAAGCTGGGAACTCAAGAAGTGTCAGTTCAGCTAGAGATCTTAGAAGTAACAATGAAGTCTCCATATAAAAGAAAGACTTGAGTGTCCCCTGAGTTGTCGACCTTCCCCTTTGCCCTAGGAAAGTTTGGATGTTTCATTGGTTCTCTTGCTCCCTGTCTCCTTTACATCTGTCATGTTCCAGAAATTCTTAGAATAATTTTCATCTGTGATTTGGAAGACAAGTTGGATAATTCATTCTGTACCCATTCCAAAGGCCAGGATAATGGGCTGAATTCTTTGTATTTTGGAAAATGGATTGTGTGGTAAGGTAGGATCTAACAGGTGTATGAATATAAAGGTTAGTGTTATTGTATCTACATGTTGAGCTGTGCTGGTTTTCAGAGACAGAACACTTTTCATTATAGCTCCCTAAATGGAAGTAACCCCAATGTCCAAAGAAAATGGATAAATTGGCATTACTGAAATTGCAATTTCCTCCAAGGAATGGCATCCATCTGGCCTCCTTGTATTTAGGAAACATTAAGGATTCTGGGCCGGAAAGTGGGCAGTGGTGAAATGAAGAAACTTCTGTACATTGGGGTTCCAAGGCAGATTGGAGGGAGGGTGCTGTGAGAGCATCAGCTGGACTAAATTGCCTGGGAGCCCCCACTATGTGTGTAGTCTGCAGGAGGCATGGGTTCTATCAGCTTTCAGAGTGCAGCCTGCTCCCCTGCCCTTTGTCTTTGCCTTCTTGGGCCCCTTGGAGTTCTGGCAGGGCACCTGGCACCGAACCTGGCACCACAGGAGTGCCCAGGAAATACTTGCTTGATTTTGTTTTCCCTGAGCTCCCACACCAGTGCCTTTCACCATCTATAGTCAAATCCCAGCTCCCTGGAGGGGCTAGGAAACTCTGCCTTTGACATATTCACTTTAAGAATTTCAGCAATGGGAACCCCGGGTGGCACAGTGGTTTGGTGCCTGCCTTTGGCCCAGGGCGCGATCCTGGAGACCTGGGATCGAATCCCATGTCGGGCTCCTGGTGCATGGAGCCTGCTTCTCCCTCTGCCTATGTCTCTGCCTCTCTCTCTCTCTCTCTGTGACTATCATAAATAAATAAAAAAATTTTTAAAAAAAAGAATTTCAGCAAAAAGGACTCCTGGGTGGCTCAGTTAAGCATCTGCCTTCAGCTCAGGTCATGATCTCAGGTCCTGGGATTGAGCCCGAAATCAGGCTCCCTGCTCAGCGGGGAGTCTACTTCTCCCTCTGCCTCTGCCAGCACTCAAGCTCTCTCTCTCAAATAAATAACATCTTTTAAAAAAGTGTCACCAATAAGATAAAAAGAGGAAGTGTGTACATTTGCAGAACCCCATGCTCTATTTCTTAACTCCCTCTTCCCACGGTGCCCACACACTTCCTTCCCTAGGTGGGGAACAGGGCATATCTGGGCAAGTCAAACAGGAACCCACCTGCTGGAAGTGTCCCCTGGGGTGAGGGAGCGAGTGCGGGAGCGTGGAGGCCATCCGGGCCCACCTGCCATAGCCACCGGTGTTGTCCTAACAGGCGTGGATGCCCGGATCTGGGAGATGCTGCTGTTGCTCGGTGCCCCCAACTTGGTGCCATCCTAGCTGGGCAGACCCCCCAGGGGTACAGGGAGCGGACGGACATAGGCGGGAAGCTGGAGCTCGCTGGTGCCTGCACGGAGGCGCCTGCGCAGTGGGTGGTGAGTGGGTAGGGAGGTTCTTTTATTTTATTATTTATTTTTTATTGGAGTTCAATTTGCCAACATATAGCATAACACCCAGTGCTCATCCCATCAAGTGCCCCCGTCACCCAGTCACCCCCACCCCCCGCCCACCTCCCTTTCCACCATGGTCGGGAGGTTCTTATGGCAACTTGGCTCAGGTCCTCAAAACCTCGCTTCCCCCCTCCTACTCAGGAGTCTAGTGTGCTCGAGATGGCTGTTAGCAGGACGGCACCTTTGCTGCTGGCACTGCCCTGCGGGCTCCTCTCCTAGCTGGGTGTGGTCGCTTCTGGGCTCCAGAGTCTGCAGAGACTTCCCAGAAAGACCAGCGCGGAGGCCTTAAGGCTGGGGTGACCTGGGCCACGGGGTGGGTAGAGAGGGAGCGAAGCCAGGTGCCACCACCTGCAGGCATGGGGAGCATAGAGCACAGAGAAAGGAGGGGGGCTTTGGGGTGAGAGAGGAGAAGCAGTAGCAGCCTGGCACAACAGTGAAGGGCCCTTTGCACGGACAGGTCTGAGGACACTCCATCAGGCATGTCTCCAGAGTTCCTGGACGACCGTCCCTCCTCCCCCAGGGTCTGAGAGTGGGGAGAGGCGCGGAAGAGCAGTTGCAGGTGCCTCTGCTGTGCTACTCTGTGCGGAGCCAGTAGGATTGTATAACCTATCAAGGGGATAGAGGTGAAGAAAACACTCTAATACGGTAAAATACCAGGACACATCTATCCCCTCCCTTGTTTATGGGGTACTACTAGGAGCCACTTTGGCACTGACCTTTGGGGGCAGCAAGCTGTTTCCCTCTCAATATTGAAGTCCAAAACTTACTCCATCTACACACCAAGGTAATGGATTTCCTCTTGGTTCATAGAATCTTTTATACAATGTGAAAGATTTCAGAGGAAACAGCCACACTATCAGCTAAGGTTCTGGGATCCAAGTGAGGTAGGTGGGTTTGGGATCTCAGGTATGAACAGGTTCTTGAGATGATTTTACAAAGTGTTGTATTCCAGATGATTGCCTGTGAGTCACTGTCTTGGAAGAACAGCATTGGATGTGGTGGGTAGGTGCCGGGTGAGCCCCTAGAACCTGTGTATCCCATCATAAAGGTCAACTAGATCCCATGGGTACAGTCCCAGACTTTGGGGCCTGCATGAAGAAAGATTTCCTCTTCCCTCTTTTTGTAGTGGGTATGGGAGCTAGAAAGGATTCCTCTAGGGCAGAGCCTGATGCTGGGGGAACTGAAAAGTGGGCTGAGGATGTCCCTGGAGTTTGGGAAGGGAGAGTGCTAGGATCTTCTTTAGGATTGATTGGGCTGCTCATATGAATTTGGTAGTTGTAAAAAAAACCCACAAAAAAACACATGCTTGTGGTACTGACCGCACGATACCTATGTACCTACCCAAAAAAGCAGAGTTCCTGTGACATTCTGCCTTCCACCAAATTTGGGGATTTTAAACCAACAAATTGAAAGTGTCCTCAGGTTTTCATGAAAGCTTCTTGCTATGGTGTAGATAACAATGGTTGGTGAATGAGTCATAACTATCCATGACTACCAGTTACCCTGAGGTTATATTTTACTTTCTGTACAACAAAGAAGTGTTACAAATAAACTCTTAACATTAAAAAAAAAAAAAAGGTAATGGAGGTCATGGGAAGGAATGGAGGAGCCACCACTGCCAGGAGAGCTGATGCTGCTTGCAGTTGGGAGAGCAGCATGTGTGCTGGTTGGCACAAGGGGAATTGACTCCTAGTTGCTTGGGGCTGGAGTGAGAGTTCCCAATGCCTATACCAGTAGGGAAGGTCAGCCTCCAAGCATGAAAGCAGTTTTGGAGTTAGAAATGTTAATTTAGGGACACCTGGGTGGCTCAGCTGTTGAGGGTCTGCCTTCTGCCCAGGGCATGATCTCAGTCCCACATCAGGCTCCCTGCGGAGAGCCTGCTTCTCCCTCTGCCTGTGTCTCTGCTTCTCTCTCTCTCTGTCTTTCATGAATAAATAAATAAAATCTTTAAAAAAATAGAATGTCCAAAAATAAATTCAACTATGTGTGCAAATATAGCATATGTTGAAGGTGGCATTCAGATTAGTTGGGAAAAATGGATTATTCAATAAATGATGCTAAATGACTTGGGGACCTATCTGAAAAAAATTAAGCTATGTCATACATCACGCTTGACACCAAATACATTCCAGGTAGACCCAATACTTACATATAAAAATGTGGAAATCACAGAAGTACATGAGGAAAAAGTGGGGCATTTATTATTATAATCTTAGTATAGGGAAGGACTAAATAGAGACCTCCATCAGAAACCATGAAGGAAAAGTGACTATTTTTTAACATTCCCTATTTTATTTTATTATCATTTTAAAAAGATTTTATTAATTAATTATTTGACAGGAGGAGAGAGTGACAGTGAGAGGGAGGGAGAGGGAGAGCGAACCTGAAGCAGACTCTGTGCTGAGTGCAGTGCCAGATGCAGGGGTCAATCCCACAACTGAGATCATGAACTGAGCCGAAACCAAGAGTCAGACATTTAGTTGACTGAGACACCCAGGCACCCTGAACATACCGATTATTTTAAACAAAATTATCTTTGTGGCAAAAACACCACAATGAGGTCAAGAAGCAACACAATGGGGAAATATTTGCAACAAAATTCAAAGACAGATAGTTAACTCCTTACTTTTAAAAAAGTCTCTACAAATCAAAGAGAAATATTCTAAGCTCCGAAGAGAAAAATGGGCAAAGGATGTGAGTACAGAAGAACACAGAAAAGGAATTTAGAATACTTCCTAAACATACAGAGACTTAAGTCATGATATAGAAGTATCTATTAAAAACTATAAGACATTACTCTTTTTCATTTATTAGACTGAAAAAAATCATTAAGTTCAAACCTAATGGTTTTATTGTTTGGTGGGACACTATCATACATTGCCGTAAAGTTCTATCAAGTGTTCTTGATAGCATCTGATAGATGCTATGAAAATTTTAAATACACATATCCCTGGGGCACGTGGCTCAGTCAGTTGCATGTAGGACTCTTGATTTTGGCTCAGGTCATGGTATCATGGTTGTGTGACAATGCCTCACATCTGCTCCATGCTTGGCAGAAAGTCTGCTTCTTGCCATCCCCCTCTGCCCTGCCCCCAGCTCATGCTCTGTTGTGCTGTCCCTTTCAAGTAAACCATTTTTAAAAAAATAAACAAATAAATGCACATATCCCTTTATCTAATAATTCATCTTTTAGGAATTTATTCAACATACTCAAACATGTATGAAATGATTTCTGTACAGTTAATTGAAATTCACTTTATTTCTAATAGCAGAAGACTGCAACATAGTAGATATTCACTGTAAAGGGTCAACTTGATTAACTTAGAGCATATTGACACATTGTAACACTATGAAGCTATGTAGCTATATGTATTGGCTGGAGACCATTTCTTCATTGAATATAAGACAAAGCAACATGTGGAAAAATGTCTATCTTATGCTTATAGAATTGATACAGGTATGTGCTTATGAATGCACTAAATATCTTTTGAAGCATACTAAAAAACTGGTAATAGTGTTTGGTTCTAGGGAAGGACAAGTGACCATCAGGGGAACACAGATGAGTAAAACACAGCTTTTGCTTTTTGTGACTTGGATTTTATACAATCTAACGATTTCGAGTATTTCCTGATGTGAATATTGCAGTGTGTTCGTGTGCACATGAGTGTGTGTGTATATTCTTGATATAACAGTTTTATGACTTACTTTCTTAGTTTTGTATGGGAAGTGGGCAGGCATAAATTTTGAAAAATACAAAAAGTTAAAAAATAATATTATAAACCTTCACCAATTGGGATTTGTATTAACATCTTTTTTCATATTTGCTTCTAGTTTTCTTTCTTTTTTTTTAAATAAATTTATTTTTTATTGGTGTTCAATTTACCAACATACAGAATAACACCCAGTGCTCCTCCTGTCAACAAAACTAAAAGACAACCTACAGAATGGGAGAAGATATTTGCAAATGACATATCAGATAAAGGGCTAGTTTCCAAGACCTATAAAGAACTTATTAAACTCAACACCAAAGAAACAAACAATCCAATCATGAAATAGTTTTCTTTTTAAGTAAGAAAAATAAAATACCTTTGTAAAATTTGAATTCTTCTTTCTTCTTTACCCCATCCAATTTCTCTCCCCTTTCCCCAGCAGCAAAAACCATCATGATTTTGATGGGTATCCTTTCAAGCTGTTAATAGTTTTACATATGCACAGGGCCACATCATTATTCTCAAGAGTGGTAGAGGATGAAGTGAAGATGGAGTGCTAGGCTCTGGGAAATCATGTGACTATGGCATTTAATGACATAGAATGGTATGATAACAATGA